TCCTCCAGGTACAACTTTGTTTCTGTGTTATTGAAACAGACCTAATGTGCACTTGCGCAGGTTCCTCACTCTCACAAACTTGGAAATACTGGAATGAACCAAAAAAGAACAGATTTGATTTTGCTGGCTTTAAAGTGGAAACGTCACCTGATAATGCACTCCCAACAGAGCAACAGCAATGCAGAGTCAGTTAAAATCAGGTGACATGTGAAAGCAGATCCTGTTTCATGTAAACATGGGCCTTTGGGAGTAAGAGAAAAGGAGGGAATGACAGTTGATGCAGCCAACTAGATGGTCTCTTTTCAGAGATCAAGAGGTGCAACCAAATTAACTTATTGCAGCTCTTGAAATCTGAAATAAAAACTCTGTGTTCAGCAGTTCAAACAGTATATATGAAGAGAGAAACAGTTGATAGGCTGAATTTTATAAAATATCATCTGTGTCAGTTTTATTGAGTTTTGTGCAGGATTTCTCTCCATTACCTTCAAGTTAGTGCACATAATTCTCTGCTGATCATCTCATGCCTGTGGTGTCACACTCACATTGTCTTGTGCTCGCAGTGATGCGAGTACTTGCTGCTGCCTGGACCGAGGACCCAACTGAGGTCTGTTCCCGTTTACAGAGCTTCAGACACCATGTTGAGGTTGTACAAGACATTTGTGAAGCCTTTTCTGGAGTACTGTGTGCAGTTCTGATTTGCCCTGTTATAGGAAGGATATTATTAAACTGGAGAGGGTGCAGAAAAGGTTGTGGGGAATGGAAGGTTTGAGTTATTAAAAATAGGCTGGACTTTCTTTCACTGGAATGTAGGAGGTCGAGGGGTGACCTTATTGAGATTTATACAATCATGAGGGGCATAGATAAGTTGAATGACAAGGGTCTTTTCCCTAAGGTAGGGGGAGTTTAATACTAGGGGACATATTTTTAAGATGAGAGGAGGAAGTTTTTAAAAAAGGAAATGAGGGGCAGCTTTTTTACACAGTATGGTTTATTTGTGGATTGAACTGTCAGAGGTGCTGGTGGATGCAGTTACAGTTAAAACATTTAAAAGACATTTGGATATGTACATGAATAGGAAATAGTTGGAAGGATATGAGCCAAATGTAGGCAGGTGGGACTAATTTAGTTGGGAATATGGTTGACATGGACTGGATAGAACAAAGGGTCTGTTTCCATGCTATACAACACTATGGCTGGAGTTGGTTTGTAGCCCATGTATTATTGTCACTGTGTAAGCAGTTGGGGCGGCATGGTGGCTCAGTGGTTAGCACTGCTGCCCCACAGCCTCAATCGACCCACGTTCGATTCCAGCCTCGGGCGACTGTCTGTGAGGAGTTTGCACATTTTCCCCGTGTCTGCGTGGGTTTCCTCCGGGTGCTCCGGTTTCCTCCCACAGTCCAAAGATGTGTAGGTTAGGTGGATTGGCCATGCTAAATTGCCCATAGTGTTCAGGGAGGTGTAGATTAGGTGGGTTATAGGGGGATGGGTCTGGGTGGAATGCTGTGGGGTTTGGTGTGGACTTGATAGACCAAAGGGCCTGTTTCCCCACTGTAGGGATTCTATGATTATGCAACATTGGCGTAGCTCATACAGCAACATGTCCATCCCTTCACTGATCAGGGCTGACAAACATGACAAGCTGCCTGGTTTTATATCTGTGTTTAAAAGACAACGCAAGACAGAAGTACTGTCGGGACTGAATGAGACATAAAAAGGCAAGACAGGGAGAGATGATGTGACCATCCAAACAGGTGCAAAGTGAGCAAGTGCTAAGCGCAAATGAGGAGCCCTGGGATTCGCTCTGTTGTGGTATGTCGGATATCCTTTTCCTACAAAGTGGCCTGGCAGCAGCATTGCGAGGAAAGGTGTCTGTGTTCTCCAAAGTGCGGTATTGTTGTATTCCAAGTGATTTGGAAATGTGCCATGGTGATGTGAGTGAGGTTGGTGCATGTTGTCTGTGGATGAAGGAGCCAGCCAAGGACTGACATGTTGGGAACTGCTGCCTAAGATGAAGGCTTGCGGGGAGCAAGCATCAAACTGAAGCTTGTGTCTGGAATTTTTGTGTCTGGAATTGTCATCGTCTAGTTTCTCTGCACTGTCTGATAAAATGGCAAACTACATACAAACAAGGCAAGATTAGGTAATCATTAAAGTTAACATGTGCAAATAGGCCTCTCATCACTTTATTCTGAGGTCCTTGTCTTGCCATTAAATCTTGGATGGAAAATATGACCTTTATTCTCAATGTCAAGAATAGAATAGAATATCCTTTATTGTCACATGTACTCGAGTACGGAAGTATAGGGGCATGGTGAAAAGTTTTACAATGTTTCTATCTTAGGTACAAGTATTTAGGTACAAATCTATAGATACAAAAGAGGAATACAAAGAAAAGTAGTTGCATTACTTTACAGTGTTTAAAGAATAAATTAGAAATAAGACATAGTCAAAGATTGATATTACAGTCAGATAAAAAAAATTAAATAAACATTACATTGCAGCAACTCAGCACAGGGGCCTCCACATGTGGCCTGACTGCCTGTGCCAGACCCCAGTCCAACAACTGTCTCTGCTCTGCTCCAGGCCTCCAGTCCACTCCGTACCAGCTCTTGGCTGTTCCAGGACTGCCATCCCCGCGCTGTTGCTGCTCTGGGACTGCTTCCACGTGAATCTCATGATCTTACCAACTAACCTACCATTGCCCACATCATTCAAATGTTAGGAAGATGCCCTAAATCATAGAATCTATACAGATGAGGAAGCAGACCATTCAGCCTATCAAGTCCACATTGACCCTCTGAAGAGCACCATACCCAGAGAACCTCCCCCCTGCCCAACCCCTGTAACCCTGCATTTCCCATGGTTAATCTACCTAGCCTACATATCCCTGGACACTATGGGTAATTTAGCATTGCTAGTCCACCTAACCCGCACGTTTTTGGACTGTTGGAGGAAACCAGAGCACCCAGAGGAAACCCACACAGAGACATGGAAAATATGCACACTCCACACATTCAATCACCTGAGGCTGGAATCGAATCCAGGGTCCTTGGTGCTGTGAGGCAGCAGTGCTAACCACTGAGCCACCATGCCATAGATGGGTTACTTCTCTGCAGTTCTCTCTCCACAGTTGCTATCTGATCTACTGAGGAGTTTCAGCATTTTTGATTTGTATCTGCACAAGTGTTTGCTTTTAGTGTAAGGTATAAAAAGGTTTATTGTTCAGGAAAAAGACCACATGTTGTTTGCTCAACTTTTGAGATACAGATTGTTATATATGGGTCTGTAAGTGTTAGTACTGAGGAATGCTATAAACGCCACACTCTTTGCTAATGACATATAGACATGTGGCAGAACATTGTAGGATTTAAAAGGAGTGCAAACTGACATCTGGTCCTGCTCAAAATCTCTAACAGTATGTCTACTTTATTAATGCATCCTTTAACGAGATGATAACATGTAATAAATTTGACTTTTAACTACAAGGAATTATTCTATTTAGACCAAGAAGTGCTTTTCTCTATCACACTAGACAAAGCAGGCCCTGGTAGGTTCCTGTATTTAAAGAGGATGGTGGCAGCTAAATTGTCATGAGCAGCAGCTCCTACAGCATTGTGAACTGGCTTGACCATGCGTACATTGTGTTCTAATACTCAAATTGTTTATTTTGCTAAGTTTGATGTGAAATTTAAACAAGATTTTATTAACCTAGCAGTGTCTAATCTGTTTGGGAATATATACTCAAATCCATTTTTACTTATAAATTATAAAACCCATTGCATAATAAGTAGCTAATTTCTTCACATGAACTAATCTTGTAAGACCTATATGCTGGAATAATATTGTTGATATTTTTAATGTTTTTATCTTAAATATAATGGAAAATAAAATCAATTTGGATTTTTAAATATCATTCACCATGAGGTTTAGTCTGTTTCTTTTTTTTAAGGTCCGGTCCCATCAACTATTTTACTTATTGCTATAAAATTATCAAGAGTAAGTTGTATTTTGTAGACAGACTTGTTTATCAAATAGCCCACATGTCATAATATGGCTCGCCAAGGGGTCCTATCCACTCAGTGATAGCTTCCAAATGCAGAAAGTACCGGTGGAAGATTCTGCGAATATCTGCTTCTTCAATCGGACACCGCTTGTTTCCTGCCCTCGCTGGTAGGCTCACTCGTAAGCTTATCAGCAGTAAACACAGAAGGGAATTTGCCTCTGTTTGGAAGTACAGTGAGCATGGCAAACATCCCTATCTTCATTCAGCCAGAGGTCTGGACATGGGCTGTTGTAGCAAGTCTGTCAAGAATGAGGGGGGCTGACTGTAAGGAGTAAGGTCTGCTGGACTTGTAAGGAGGGGAGAGGCTATGAGCAGCAAGAGACTTCCCACGTTTTGATGAGGACACATGGTTGTGGACTTGTTCTTTCATTGTATATGATGTGTCTCTGTTTTCTCGTTTCCTTTCAGGAAAGGAATTTGCAGAGAGAGAGTAGCTTGGTGTTTGGAATTTTCTTTTAATTCTCCTCGCCCAAAAGTCGGGGGGTGGTGGGGGAGAGAGTGAAGGAGAGAGAATAAAGATTTGGATTCTTCCTGTTTCACATGCTGGATGTTTCTGCCGAATTATCTAAGTACAGATGTGTAGCCACTTGCCCAGGAGCCACGTTATTACCACACTGACTTTTCCTGAACAGAGACAGCTGGTTATTTTTGGGGAAACAAAAAATCAAAAGTTTGTCACTGGGTAGATCTACCCTGAACACACACCACAAAGCTCAGCAGTCTAGCATCTTCCCTTAAAAATGCAACACCATCTTTTACAGTCTCTTGGTTTCAAGCAGTCCATAGTCCAAAGAATAAAAGTGGTCTTTACATGTGCTGGTACTTTTTATCCCTTAGTTAATTGACAAAACAATTTATTTTTAATTTGACATTTTTGAAAGAAAGTGTGCTGTTCAATATGGTTTCAATAATAGATTTGTTGTTCTCTTTACCAAAGCAAAAGATCCAAGGCAAAAGCCCCAGCGCCACCAATAATCTCCAAGCATGTTGAGAGTTCTTCAATAAATAAGAGCCTAGAGGGTGAAAGTAAAACCATGGAACAGGAAAACAACAATGTGAACACACACTTCAATTTGACTGTGGTTCTGCCAGGAGGAGTGGAGCACTCGACCAGTATAAATGGAAGGTAGGTCTTCATGGACCTTTTTCTCTAATTGACCTAGAATGCATCTTTTTGAAGCATGTTGGTTTGTGTTTCAACTGAAACACTTTATAAAAGTTTGTTTAACATAGTCGTCATGTCACTGTGCCAGATGACCACTGACCATTAAATGCATCATATGAAATAATGTTAATTATGTTAAGTATATAATTGTATATGCAATGTCTTCTAGGGCTGAAGTTTACATTAATTTGAACTAAGTCTGTGTTGTGTCAAGTTATTTGAAGGGATTCTCATCACAAGGCTAATGAGTTCTGTTGCCCTATCTTACTGAATCTGTCTCATTATTACCTACCATGCCCCTGCGGCATCACTCAGTGGTCTTGTGCTGAAAAACTGGCATCCCTTGTGCTCATGCCATCTTTAAAAGACTGTTGTGCACCTGGATGAGCAGTGACATTCCAAATGGGCCCTGCTTGATCAAGGATAGAGTCTGAGTGGCTCGGTGAAGAAGATCGCGCTGCAATTCTCTGACAGGGATCTTCAGGTCCTGGTGGATGGGGCATTTCAGTGAAGAGGCATTTTCTTTCTGGAGGAGCGGCAGGAGAGACCATGCCACCAGATTCTGCTAGCCTGGTCCAAGGTCGCCACACTGGTCAGTGCCATCTACTGGATGCAGAAAGAAGGTCAATGATATTTTTCACTCTGCCAGGGTAAATGCCATACTCTGTTACCTCACACTCACTCCATCTCTGCAACTGAACCTATCTCCCACCTAGGTTTGTGCACTATCAATCTCACTATTGCCTTTAACACCTTCCCTCACCTGCTGCTGCTCTCTCACACAAAACAAACCTCTTAACCCTGCATGCCCCCTGTGCTGCCTTCTCAGTCCTTCGGTACATCTCAACACCTTCCTCCACGTATACTAGCACTAGCAGCCACGTTAGCTACTGTAATCTAACCCATTCCCCCCCTCCTTTTTTCTCAACACAGACAGAGCCGTACAGGTGGAGGAATGTCTGACCACCATTCCCTCACACCCTACAAGAAAAGGATCATGGCCCTTGCAGGAGGAGACTGAGTCTACTTCTGTGGGGATGTGCAGCCTCTAGGCTGAGGACGCCTCTAGGCTGAGGACTGCTTTGCAGCAAGGAAGCTGCTAGTTTTTGTGATTATGCTAATTGGCAGGGCAGGGCAGCACAGGGCAAGGCAGGAATATTAGTCACTAAGAGAGTAAGTGAGCATCCCTGACATGCAGCCTGGACCAGTCTGCGAGCTGGATGTTTGTTCATGTAACAGCCATTGGCCAAGGTTCAAAGGAAACTCTATAAAGAATATCAGAAACAGAACAGGTTCTTAGCAATGTGAGCAGTCAGTGTTCCAACTGTGGCTCATCTCCCCCCACTCCCATCCCCATCCCCACCACAGACACACGCGCGCATACGCACACAGACACACACGCACATACACACGCACAATCCTGACTGATCTCTGTTCAGCTCCCAGACTGATGTGCTGTGAATCCCTGAATCCCTGGATTGCGTGCATTGGCCCTGTAGAACTGATTATGGCCCACACCCCAGACTGTAGTGTTATAGAACCCCTGATCCTGACTGACTGACCATGTCTGAGCTCCTGGACTGAGATTGGCTGCTGCCCTTGACTGACTTAGACTGACTGAAGGAGTTCCCCCTTGGCCTGACCAAGGACTATTCGCATTAGAGATATGGCCATTTGGCTGAAGCACATGCAATGTGTTTGCTATCTAAGCTGTTGGCATATGCTGTAGCTGTGACATTGGTGTAACACAGTGCTGTACAGCTACATGTCCATCCCCTTAACTAATCATTGCTGACAGCTGTGACAAGCTGTCTGGCTTTGTGTCTGCACTAAATAGCAAGGCAACATAGAGATACTGTGTACTTTTAAATTCTGAATGAGACAGCAAAGCAAAATAAAGGCAAAGTGAGAGATGCCGTGAGCCTCCAAGTAGGTGTGAAGCAAGTGAGTGATAAGAAGGCAAGTGAAGATCCCTGAGCTGCAGCCTGCTATGAGCTGGATGCTTGTTCCTGTGGCCTGGTGCTTGTCCGATGCTAACTTCTGTAGATGGCGATAGCTTGGGGTGCAGGCAGTCACTGCCCATGGAGTGTACCCTGAGATGTTGGGACTGCTGGCCAAGATGGAGGCACAGAGGAGCAATCATTGAGCTGGAGCCACCAAGTATCTGCTCTGACTTTCATGTCAGGGATTGTCACTGTCGTCTTCCCAGTGCGTGGGATAACAGGAAATTGCATGTAAAGAAGTCAAGGCTAGATACCAGTGACATGTAAATGCAAAGAGACCACTCGTCACACACAAGGGAGATTCTCCTCTCACCATTCAAGGCATGGTTGGAAAACCAAGCTTCTTTTTCTTGATGTCAAGAATCTAATTCTCCTACACCGCCATATTTTCCCAACAGACTTAACATTCCAAATATCATTTAGGGGCTGGAAAAATTCAGCCCCGTGTTTAGTCGGAGCGAGGAGGACTTTTATTCATATCAGTTCAAATTTAAGAAGAAGAATCTAATTGTTTGATGTCTTCAATCTGTAATCTTTTATGTGCTGATGCTTGAACAGTGCAACACAGAAGACGACCTTTTGCCCCATTCTGCCTGTGCTTACTCTAGAGAAGATATTCAATCCGTCCTCTTCCACAAATAGACTTTTTGTAGATAAATATACACTTCTGCAAAACAAAATGCACTAATTTCATCTCATTTACAGTATTTCGAAGTAGTTATATAAACAAAAGGAAATTGGTTTGAAGAAAGTAGTAAAGAACAAGAGTTGTTTTGTCTGCATTAATTATTAGCCCAGAATTTAGCAGCACAGTGTTGGATAAAGTTAATACACTTAACAATTCATCAATTAGACCTAAAAAAATCCCACATCGTACAATAAGCTCACAATTGCTAATCTTAAAATCTCAGCGCCTCAGAGCAAAAAACAGCTGGCTGGATTTGCTCCACAAAACATTGCCTGCCTGTCTGCTGAAAAAGTATGCATGTACCGAAGAGGAGATTGCCAAGGAATTCCGGGACAGTATGCCTAATTCGAAAATAAGCAGATTTTTTTTGATCTGCTCGTGAGCTGCACAAATGGAAGTGAGGAATACTTTGATCCTTATTCAAAACAGATAGTTAATGACTTCTAATATGATTTGTGACAGTCATTTGCTTTATTTGATTACCTTTCTTTCAAGTGATCATTCTGATCAACATTGTATATTTGTCCTTATTTTTGATCTGCTTGTATGCATGACCAGGGCTCATCGGAGACTGTTTGCATAGGATATTCTGAAGTGAACTGCTTCAGTGGCAAAGCTGTGATTTATAACCAAAGACCAAAGTGTTCTATAGGACCAATCATCAAGAATGAACCATTTTCCTTTAATCAAGGTTAAATGTCACCTCTGTCCCGATATATCTTTTGTAACGATTTATTTACTTCAAGCATTAAGATTCGTGTTGCCTAAGCCTGATCTGAGGTAATCTCCAAAACTCTTCGAAAAAAACTAATTGACTTTTGAAGTGTTTCTAAAGAAAGTTACCCTTGTATATATCATTCTTGCTTATATCGGTGTTAGTTGTTTCATAACTGTCAGACCAACTGGTGCATTCAACTTGACCTGTACAATTACGCTGTTTAATGCACCACAATTAAATGCTCCCTATCCAAAAAAGAAGTGGTCTCATAAGGGAAGTGTTAAACAGCTGGAAAAAAACAACCATAGCGAGTTAGGAAATGATATGCAATACTTTCATCAACCATCTTACGCTCTTGGCAATCAAAACTAGGCCAGGGACTGAAATTGTCCATGAATTTTAATGCAGAATGTGTACCTTTTGTGCATCATGATTTCTGCTCCAACCAAGAATTGTGCTGGCTCTCTTTTGAAGATGTGAGACATCACTCACCATTCTCATCTGCACTTTGCTCCAAAGTTCTATTCCCTGGAAAACGAGATTTTCAAATGCTTTGATTAGCGACAGAAACACTTCCATCTTAAATGTTTCTTGGCTTTATTTAGATGATTATAAATAGAGCTGTATATATTATATCGATCCAACATGGTTTTCCAGTATAGACTACTTTTTTTATATAAAGTTAACATATTTAACATTTAGTGAAATTCAAAATTAGTTCCTATCCTGACCTGTTGGGATTAATTCATACTTTTCCAGTAACCTGTCAATTGGTTTTGAATGCTGTTCACATTCAATTATCAGATAGAATCGCAGTAGTGGTACTGTCAGCAAGTTAATTCCTTGTTTTGCAGCAATGAGTTGTTTAAGTTGTTTATATGTTTGTAAAAAAAATTGTTTTTCTAGCACACCCATGATGGATTTGTTGATTTTCCTTTGTGGCAAGTATCATTTGAATCCTTCAAATCATACAATAGAATTAATGGGAAGGGAGAAGAATCAAGTTCAGTTCAAGCCGAACACTTTGATTGGAGCAGTTGAAGTGGAGAAACTTATTCTAAAGCAGAAAAATATAGAAGAAAAGAAGACACCTATATCACTGGTGCCTGAGGTTAGTAAAATCGATTAGCACATCATGGTGGCAATAATGACACTTCACAAATACTTTTAATATTGAAAGATGTTCTTGATTTTGTAATGAATAGGTTTAACTGAAAGTATAAGTTCAGGTGCAGAAAATAAGGCAGTGATATGTAGGGGTAGGGTGTCCACCCAGTTGTGTTAATTTTTTGGTATAATGTATTTAAATCTAAGTAACTTATGCAAAAGATTGCATCATTTATGTTGCACGTGAATCGAGTTTCTCCAATATTCTCTGGTTTTAAAATCATCAAACTCAAAGCTGGCCCTTCCCTTAAAACTGGTCCCACCCTATTGCTGAATTAATCACCATTAGAAGGTTCTACTAATTATACTCATTTTCGGACAAAAGTGCTGTGTGCCATAATAATTAAAGTAGTTTTCTTTTAAAGATCCTTTTCAGCAATGTAAAATCTGATTACTAAAATGATTGCCATTTGATGTAAATAATATTTTCTGTGATAATCCATCTGCCTTACACTAGCACTCTAAATCATATCGAGGAAAATTTTTTTTAAGCCTGTACTTTTCTTAAAAAAAAAGTTTTAACTTTTCAAAGCTAATTATACCTGCCCCCCCCCCACCACATTTTACATTCAATGACGTATAGATAAGTTTAAGAAGAAACACAAAAGATACAGGACTTCTCAAATAAGCCCACTTTTTCCTTTATTCATTTGTGGGATGTGGACACGATTGGCTACGCCAGCATCCGTCCCCCATCCCTAATTGCCCAGAGGGTAGCTAAGAGTCAACCACATTGCTGTGGGTCTAGAGTCACATGTAGGCCAGACCAGGTAAGGATGACTAATTTCCTTCCCTGAAGGATATTAATGAACCAGATGAGTTTTTCTGACCATCAACAATGGTTTCATGGTCATCAGTAGGCCCTTAACTCCAGATTCTTTACTGAATTCAAATTCTACCATCTGCCATGGCAGGATTTGAACCCAGGTCCCCAGGACATTAGCCGAATTTCTGGATAAACAAATCCAGTGATAATACCACTAGGTCACCGCCTCCCCTTTTTGATTCAGTTTGCACCCAAATGGCTGATTACACCCAAAGTGGAAACTTAACCTTGTAGGGTTTGACTTTATATTTAAAAAGAGTGTACATATTTCTTAAGTTCGTAGAAAATAAAGTGACGTTGAGACTGCAACCATATCTGATATATGTTATTAAATGGCAGGACTTACTCAAAGGGCTGAATAGACCAATCCTGTTCCTAAGTTCTTTGTTCCTGCATAAGGTTCCTTACCAGCACTTAGCAAACCAGATGCCTCTACCACCAAGGGGCACTAAGGCACCAGGCACATGAAAACATCACCAACTGCAAATTCCCCTCCAAGATGCACACATCGTTCTAGCTGGAAAGTATACTGCCATTTCTCCATCATTGCTGACTCAAAGTCATAGCATTGCCAGCGTAAGAAGATTGTGGAAGTTCCTACAATACACAGAGTGCTCAGCTTCAAGGTGACTTACAACAAAATTCACTGAGCTGAATAGAGACATATCAACTGGAAGATTCCCTCACCATGCCATGCATCATTTGTTTTTTAAGTGACCATGCATGTGCGGTTGCACAAACATGTTTAAAGGGTGCCTGAATTTACTTAAATCAGTTGTGCACTGCTTAAAAGCAAAAGGTATATTGCTGATAATGACCTTCTCCAAGGCTTTGTAGGCAAGAGCAATAAAATCTGCCTTTGCCATTGATAGCCACAAGCCTTAGGCATATTTTTTAAACTAAACTAAACAATGAATGAGATTTTGCAGTCAGCACACAACATTGTTACTTGCTGCTGACCTGAAAAAGCTGCTGTCAAAGATCTAGTGATCTCTGTGGTGCAGGCTTCCCTTTTTCCTGATGGCAGTTTAAATCTGGTGCCAAGTAAAGGGACTTCCACATTGCAGGAATAGTGATGTCAATGAGCAGATAGGGAAGCTTTTAAACTATTCCCACACACTGTAAACTTGGAACTTAAAAACATGCAGACCCTTTCACATTTTAATTTAAGGTTCCAAATTATTGATTAAAGTATTATTGGATTGGATTTAGATGGAAGCTGAAATAGCGGTATGAACAAATGTTTTTTGCAAAATGAATTTTTAAAACACTTTTTGGAGAAATGTCACATTCCGTGAAAATAGTATTGCCTTTACAGAGCTCCTAAATTTGACTTGCAGTAATTTGAAGTTAGTGCATTATTTAAAACCCATTTAATGTTGTTGAACATTTAAGATTTAAATTTTTAGCATTTTTAAGGACTTCTGCACTGAGATGAGCAATATAAAAGTGAAAATTTATATCTGTTCATTGACGATCAGGAAATGCTGTTGGATTAAGAAAATGGTGAAGAATCTTTTAGCACTGTATCCTGTACTAAAGAGTTAAATCACTGACAACAGAATCTGAATTTCCATGGTATATGTCATATGTTACTGTCAGTTCCAGCGGAATAAATGCAAAAAATTTCCATCAATTCACTGTCATTGCTTCCACAAAATTTGGACCAATCTGTCAATAATGAAATGTTTTCCAACAGTGATTGATATTTAAAATGAGAAACTTAAAATGTCAAGAGTTGATATATTCATCCAGAGTTAAAAGTTTAGAAAATAGTTATTTTGTCCAACCATAAACACTAAATGAAATAATATATCAGTTTCACAGCCTCAGAAGTCCTATTTCAGAGAAAATTTCATTACCCCTCTCTATATTAATCTTTATAATCTCTGTTTTGCTTACCAGATATAATCCAGAATTTTTCTTCTGAAAGGCCTGAGTTTGTTTCACATAAATTGGCATAGAGCTGAGTTTATCCAATCTATCCTCTTTAATCTCCAATCCAAGTGGAGGCCTCTTAGATTTTGCGCTGCTATCCACTTGTCTTGTTCTCATTGTTGTTAGCAAATTACCTACATGCATTTATACTTTCAATTCAAATTGGCATTTTCAAAATTCAGCCATGCCTCAACTTCATCTTTTATTCAATGAAAACAAGTTCGATCCTTGATGTTCCTAAATTCAGGTTATAGACTCATACATTACTCTTGTGTGATCTCCTCCTAATTCACCAAAGTGGAATGCAACAACTCCAAATAACTGTTTTCATCATTGCCTCATCAATAATCTATATGACATTAAAAATAATTGTCTTAAACAATACTGATGTGGATAACACACCAAAACTTAAAGTGTGAACTGAGCATGATCTTATAATCCAGATGATGCTATTTTATACTTCTGAACTCCAAAAGTCTGAGCTTGAGAGGAAACTAAATGATACCCCTCAAATGTCAGCAATGTGAGAACACTGAAATGAACCTTGTATGGGATATTAATGAGCATCAGTCTTTCACTCGTGGAAGACTTGAGCTTTTGTGATTAATACATGTATGTTTTTCTCTTGAATCTTTCAAAATATTTACTTTGTTTTCCCGTTTTGATATTTTGTGATAAAACAACACCTTTCATACCTTTCATTTTATAAGTAAACTCCTTTGATTTCCTTTTAGACAATCTTTGTGATGTAAGAGTTGTTGCAAGAGTCACCCAAATTTGGTATTAATACTTGAGGCAGAAGTCCAGAATTTGCATTGAGCACATTTTAGTTGGCTGGAAAAACAAAGGTTGTTTCATTATCTGAAATATGTTTCACTTTGACCTGCCTGAAAATCATAATGATAAGACAATTCTGGTGAGGATTAGGTTGTCCTGAGAAGCTGCAAATATGAGACAAGTACTTTAGGGTTGTAAATATTTTTTAGACAATTCTTTTATCTATCAGAAGGGGGTTTTCCATTGAATATGGAATGGTCTGCTGATCCTCAGCTCTCATCTGTATTAAATCTTCAGATCTTTTGATAGTTCAATCTTCCTATCTTGGAAGAGCTCATAACTCTTAGCATTAGGTGTTGCTGATAACTCCAGAGTGAGAAAACTATTGCGTATGTTTTCCAAAGGCAAAATCACCATGCCAAAATTTGGATTAAGTGCAGCTCATCCTTAGTTTGCACAATAGTGAGCAATTGCCTGAATTTAATGTATTTTAAATTGTAACTATATCAACATTTTCAACTTGTACATACACATTCTGACAAACCATCTTTTTACTTTCAGCAAACAGTACGTGTTGTAGTAAACTACAAGAAAACACAGAAAACTATAGTGCGTGTTAGTCCTCTTGTTCCTCTTCAAGAACTAGTTCCAGTAATCAGCAATAAATGTGAATTTGATCCAAAAAGCACTATTCTCGTCAAAGACTTTGAGTCTAAGGAGCCCTATGACTTAACAAAATCTCTAAAGGAGCTTGGCATACGAGAAGTATATGCATTGGACACTAGTGTAGGTATGTACCTGCTAGAAGTTGCTGAAATTTGTGGCACAATGATTTCAGGCATATAGCTTGGTGTAGCATGATATTATTTTTAAATAAAGTACATAGCACTTTAAAACTTAAACATCCATTTGTTCTTTCATGTAAATACATATCCCAAGCTAAATGAGAGTGTTAATCAGACAAAAATGCACGCTGAGACTATTAGGTAGAATGATCAAAATCTTGATTGAAGAGGTTGATTTTATGCAGAGCTTTAAAGGAGTTGAACTGGGAGGAAATGTTTAGAGAATTCCAGAATCTGGGCTGCTAAATGCATGGCTACTGATGATATGGCCAACGAGTGGGTGGTTGTGACACAGTGGTAGTGTTCCTCCCTCTGAGCCAAAACCCTTCAGAGGTGTGTCATAACATGTCTGACAGGTTGATTTAAAAATATCTAAAATAATCAGGAGATTTTCAGGGTGGGTTATGGTACCATGAAGGAATTTAAACACGAAGATGAGAGTTTTATGCAACTTTGTGGTTTGTGGGATTCTTAGTCAATCTAGCACAGCAAGGACAGCTAAATCAGTGATCACTCTAAATTTTCTTAGTGTGTGGTAATTTGGTTATTTTAGTACACAATACCTTCAGTTTAGCACAGCCATGCACGAAGCAACTGAAATGGCCTATATGGTAACTTTGGTTGTAGGACTCCCATGCACGTGTGTAACTTAGAGGGAACATTAAAGGAAGGAAGTGATAAGTGAGTGAGTAGGTCAAGTTGATGCTTGACAAGTGGAGAGACAGCCAACAAATAACTGCAGTGGTTGACCATGGAAATAGTAAAAATGAGGGCTTCTGTATCAGATGGACAGAGGTGGGTGATGTTATAGATGTAAAAATGTTAGCGTTATTGTGGTCGGTGTGTAAGAACAGAAGCTAGTTTCAAGGTTGAATTTTTGAACAATTGAATAGTAATTGGGGCTGTAAGAAATGAGAGAGAGAGACGCATGCTGTCAACACACGCGGAAGATGATCTATATCTGAAAATGGTGTTACTAATGGGAAATAAGAGTAAGTTATTGTTTATGGATTATATTTTGTAAATCAACATTATTCTACAAAGTAACTTCGTCAATATTTTTTAGGATTCTCTGAGGCTAATTTTCAAGGTGGATCCATTCAGCAAGGTAATGATGTTTTAAATGTTGGTCCAGAGAATTTCACAAAAAAATAGGTTTTTAAACTTAGTTTTTCTGTTGTTTTGACTCAGACTGAAGATATGGTGTACTCTCGTGTATAGGTGTAACCCTCACTTGCTTTTTTTTTCTTTATTCATTTATGGGATGAGGGCGTCTTTGGCTAGGCAGCATTTATTGCCCATCCCTAATTGCCCAGAGGGCAGTTGAGAGTCAACCACATTGCTGTGGCTCTGGAGTCACATGTAGGCCAGATCAGGGTAAGGATGGCAGTTTCCTTCCCTAAAGGACATTATTGAACCAGATGGGTTTTTCCTGACAGTCGACAATGGTCATCATTAGATTCTTAATTCCAGATATTTACTGAATTCAAATTCCACCTCCTGCTGTGGCGGGATTCGAACCTGGGCCCCAGAATCTGCGTCTCTGGATTAACAGTCTAACGGTAATACCACTAGGCCATTGTCTCCCCCTAAACAAGTGCTGTTTTTTTTTCATTTACCCCCATTATTACCCTGTCCCATTTGTTTGCAGGCAAGTCTGCCCATTGCTAGTCTGTAAAATCAGATAAAGTTGATATTTGCAGCAGGATATTAACACAAACACAATGTGTACTGTGCAACCAATATTTACTACTGTGTTTTCTAACTTCCTACAAATCTACTCAATGTTTTAGGACAGTTTCACATTCCAGCAAATGCAACTCTGGAGAAGGAAAACAAGGGATTCTTCAACATATTTAGACTGAGTAAGAAGAAACGTGAAAAAGTAAGCTTTTCATGTGGGGTTTTAAAACCGTTTCTGTGTTGAGTCTGACCAGATTACAGCTGGTCAGTGCAGAATAGCAGAAGTTCTGATGAAAGGTTATTGACATGAAATATTAAAGGAGACATGTGGTTGAGATTTTTCTCTGTCTTACATTCATTGGGACAAACTCAAGAATGACCTATTTCAAAGGAAGAATCAGCATCCTTTCCTCATGTAGTATAAATTGCTTTCTTGTTGCTTCCTTTGAGTCCAAAATGAAAGTATTCCATAGCATTTCTATTTTATCAGCAGTACACAAGTTTGATACAACTAAGTGATGATATGATAAACAAAAACAGAAACTGGTGGTAAAGCTCAGCAGGTCTGGCAGATTCTGTGGAGAAAAATCAGAGTAACATTTCAGGTCCAGTGACCCCTCCTCAGAACAATTTTGACAATATGTTAACTCTCTTTCTTTCTTCACAAGCTCTGCCTGACCTTTTAAGTGTTTCAAACATTTTCTATTTCTTTTACCCTCCAGAGTACCAGCGCAAGAGTACTTTGATTTAGTGACAGTCTATCATGATAGGTCTGAGCTGTGATAATTTTGCATGAAGTCAGCTACCAGCTCTTTCCATTTTAACTCTCTGGTAGCAGCATTCATTCTGAAAACTTTATAATTTTCCAGGATTGCAATAACTTTTAATACAAAAAGAATTGAAAACTAAACTTTGATTTAATTTCCAGCCAGCAAGTGCACCTGCAACCCCACTAGTAAGTCAGCAAAGACCACTTGGCATGAGCAGTGCAAGTGCTTATTGCCCAACATATGAATCTAATACTTTGCCCTCAGATCTTCCGAAGAAAAGACGAGCACCTGCACCACCGCTATCTGTTTCACAGAGTTTTCCAAAAGATTTAACTCAGCAAGCATCAACTAGACCAACATCATATGTTTTTCCAGATGCTCCTGTCAATTCTACTGAACAGGTCTCTCAAGTAAGTTCTTGGATTTATAAAACTGGTTCAGCAGCCTTAATAGAATATTTGTATTGCTACCTTTTCAATTGGAATTTTTTTCATCTCTACTCTGACGTTCACTTTGGAGGATAAATTGGACTAAAACACTTGAATATGTTTTCTGTAACCACTGTAAACTGCACCAACTTGCCTTCTATTTGAATGACTGCACCTTTTTATAGTATTAGCTTCAGATTTGTTAGCTTTTATTTCCTTTCCTGGTTGATAAAAATGTTGTTAGTCTTTTATCTGATATAGATTACCACCTAGTTGGGACTATAGAATATGTGCTTGCACACAGCTGTTTGAATGATATATACAAACTTTTGATAACTTGTTACTACCTCGAATCTCATTGCTCAAAACGATAAAATAACAGCGTCTTCCCAGTCATTATCAGATTGATGGATGGACTCTCTAACCTCAAATAACATTCATCTTGCTTAACGTTGATCTTGCCTAGTGCACACCCTGTGCAGTGTAACCTGTATGCCTCTAAGTCTTTTTGATCTGTACACCCTTTGCTTACTGTGATCTGCCTGTAACGTTCGTAAACAATGCTTTTCACTGTATTTCGGTACATGCGACAATAAGTCAATCAATCAAAATAATTTTGGGTTTCTAAGCTTTCATTTTATAATCTATCTTGGCTTTTCTACTCAACTTGATGTAACAAATAAATTGGAGGATCTCTTGGAAGTGCAAGAGTCAGTTTTCCAGACTAAGAATTCAGCAATATTGTGACCATCCCTAGTGTTTGATGCTTGTTAACTAGATAACATTGAATCCCTGGGAAAAATACAGTCGATTCCACTATATAGAACTTTTGAGGGAGATTGGGTGATATGTCTTTTCAGCTTCAGACTTTGACTCAAAAAATGGATACTTTGCTTGCCGGTACTTTTATAAGATGATACAAGGGAACAAGCATGCAATAGAGTTTATGTTGTGCAGATGCATGGGAATTTAAGATACATCCGCTCAGAACAGACCTGGTATGTCAAATGACAAAGATGGGGACCACCCACACAATCGGTTCACTCTATACTGTGCATATGGTGCACCTTTTGAAGCCTTTCAAGATCTCTCCAAATGTAAGCATCAAGTTCTTCTACATCAGCAATACCAGCAGCCTGCTAATACCTTACCTAAGCAACCGTTCTTCATATAAACAGAGACAAGTGGTACACTAAAGTGAAAATATGAGCAAAACAGAGGAAATACAGTTGGTTCAAGAAAAATAATTCTATCTTGACAGTAGAACCATTTTAAGGTGGTCAAATTTTGATTTAGTCATTATTTGTCAATTATTATGGTGGCACATAGAGCAGCTTGGTGGCACAGATGTTAGCACAGCGCCAGGACCTAGGTTTGATTCTAGCTTTGGGTTATTGTCTGTGTAGAGTTTGCACGTTCTCCCTGTGTCGGCTTGGGTTTTCACCAGGTGCCCTGGTTTCCTCCCACAGTCCAAAGATGTGCAAGTTAGATAGATTGGCCATGCTAACTTGCCCCATGGTGTCCAGGGATGTGCAGGCTAGGTGGATTAGCCACAGTAAATGCAGATTTACAGAGATAAGGTAGGTCTGGGTGGGATGCTCTTTGGAGAGTTGATGCAGACTTGATGGGCCAAATTACCCCTCTATATACTGTAGCAATTCTATGATTTCATGTGTAGCCCTGTGAAAAGATGATAGTTCATGTTTTAAAACATTATTGATATAAAGAGTTAGTGAAATGCTTGAATGTTAATAAGGTTACTGGGTAAATTTAAAATGTATATGTGTACATGGATGGCAATCACCTGTACAGCTGTTAACATGCTGTTGCTTTGAAATATTTCACTGTAGTACATTGCATTTTGAAGTGTATTTGTTTAATTGTAATTGTGGTTCCACAACCAAAGTTTTATCCATCTTGAGGCATCATTTATTATACCAAGTGGAAGAGTCCCTGTTAACCATATAACCATATAATCGTAGAGTGAACTTTGAAAATTTGAGAACAGACTTAAATTTGATTACACTGGTCAATTGACAAAATCAAAGGTCACTATAAAACAAGGAATGTTGTTTTATAAACCTCTTGTTAAGTCTCATCTACTCCTGTTTACCTGAGATTGCTGAGCCCGGGGTGTTTCTTTTGTAATTGAGTCGCTTGAAATCTTACAGAACACTATTTCAGTCATTTTTAATCCATCTTTTAATATAAGTTATGACACACCTTCAGGACAGATGGACTCTTAAACTAGGTCTTCCCAGCACACAGGTATAGACAAACTGCCACTGTGCCTATTTACTTTTCACACATAGATAAAACATGAAATATTTTGGAAAACTACAGTCAGAATTTAAATCTGTGCCAAAAATTGAGTGAAGATCACTTGTGCATGTTGTTGACGCTGACTGCACGATTACATCAGTAGGAGGTCCTACAATTTTAATGTTTTGGATCTCATTAATATACGTTGGGCAATTTGCACTGTTAATTATGTTGCTTGTTTAGGAGAATGGGAAATGAAGATATTGTAGCAGCATCTTAAGAGGGATATGTGGAAGCATTGAGAAATGGAGCAGGAAGTTTCAACATGAGGGAAATTTAAGCTGTACCCATCTTGGCAGGAACATAAGATTGTGTAATCCTTTCAAGCCTTGAAGCATTCAAAATTGACTAGGAAAGTGTAGTGCAAGAACTGCATCCAATTTTCCATGGCTCCAGCTGAGGATCACTTTGAATGTCATCATAAATGGTTCCCTGCCAACATACATCTCTCAGTTTCTGATTGGGTCAAGGAAGTTGTTGATGGTGCTGGTTGAGACAGAAGGTTGTGACAAAATTCAGTAGATCCTTTTTTATGTGGGGAACCACCCTGTTTCTAGAAGGAGTGTTGGCTACCTAAATAGAAATCGATCCCAAAAAACGGAACCAGCAAACCACCAGCATTACATTGCCAAATTCATTATCAAGATTTAATCCTGCTGCCAGCCATTTGCAGTTCTCATACTGAGTCAGTGCTACTAATGTTGGAGTCTTAGCCCTTGGCAGTACAAGTTAGAAATCCTAGGCGTCCAGTTTTCCAAATTGTATGACAATAAAAATGCTTAAAAGTTACGGGAACTGGTTGCCTAAACTTCAGGATTATGCTGTGGGCAGACAAAGTCCATGTTGGCAGTTGGAATCTTAACGTACCCCTGTATATATGTCATTTTGGTTGCCTTATTTTCCGAAGTGCTTTGATTTAGAAAGGTGGAGACTTTTAAAAAAAACTTTGCTGGGTTTTTCCTCCAGGATTTGTTTCTGGTTGAAAATTTTCCATTTTACATTTATCGTGAAATGCTGGAATTGTATTGAATGTCATACAGATGAAGGGGGAAAATGGAGGGGGAAAAAAAGTCTTAATTTTAATAAGATAAGAACTGTTAATATTGTGTTCTAGAGCAAAGGGGAATGTTTATGTATCAGCGAGACATAGCTATTGTTTCTGTGTGTATTTTAACATTTGTTCTCATACTTCAGAAAGCTATTGTTTTGTTTTGAGTTTTATTATCCTGAGTAAATCCAAAATTGTAGCACAGTGAGGAAAAATTTTGAAGCATTTTTATTTCTACCATTCATCTTGTGATGCCACTTTTTTTTTGTTTATTCACTGCATGTGGCATCACAGAATAGGCCAATGTTTGTGTCTGTCTTTAATTGTCGTTGAAATTATTGTTGTGAGCTGTTTCTTGAACTGCTCTATTTCATGGAGGGTAGATACATCCACAATGCTGTTAAAAAGGGAGCTCCAGGATTTTGACCCAACAACACTGAAGAATGGCACTTATAGTTCCAAGTCAAGATGGTTTCTGATTTGGAGAGGGGGTTGTATGTGGTGGTTTTCCCATGCATCTGCTGTCCTTGTTCTCCCAGGTAGAACATTCCCCTTCTGATCTTATGATAGAGGGAAGGTCATTGATGATGCAGCTGAAGGTGTTTTGGTCTGCAGCACTACCTTGTTGTAACTGAGGATTTCTTGTCCAGGACTGAGATGAATGAACTCAAACAACTACAGGCAATCTTCCTTTGTACTGAGTATGTCTCTGACCAGTGAGAGTTTCTCCCAACGCCTGTTTTGAATAAGCTTCTTGATATCATTCTGGTTTAAATGCTGCCTTAATATCAAAAAGGCAGCACTCTCACTCTGCACGTGAAAGTATCACTCTCACACATCTGGAGTTCAGTGCTTTGATTTACGTCTGGATGGAAGTATAATGAAATCCAGAGCTGAATGAGCTCTAGGAAAATCCAAACTGGGGGCATCAATGATCAGGTTATTGCTGAGAAAATGATGCTTGGTAGCACTTGTTAATGACCCTTTTCATCACGTTGCAAGTGGTTAAGTTTAAAAGGATGGGCGGGAATTGATCTAGTTTGATTTTGGCAAGGACATACCTGGCAAAGTGGAAAATTGCTGAGTTACGTGCTAGTGTTGTCACTGGCATGTAGTTAGGGAGCATAACTTCAGTACTAGTTAATGAAAATATTTCAACGTTTCAATTATCGCCTTCCAGAATAGTTGGAAAATTGCGTGAAATGTTTGTTTTGAAATCCTATGCAGGATGGCAGGGCCAGAATGTATTTACGATCATATTTAATGCAAGAAGCACAGTTTTGGTACAAAAGTAACCCTGTTGAAATTGCTTCAGTCATTGACATGATGACTATTAAATTGTCTTATTCCTGATTGGGTATAAAATATGAATTGAAAATGCGAGGAATCACGCTTCTATAAATTCACTGCTGAATACGTTTTTAGAATTGAAGTCAAAGTATTGTCATCCCATCAGTTGACAATTAATGTACTTTTAAAGCTCATTTAGCATTATCAACTTAGTAAATTGCTTAACTTGACCACAAAAGGACACTCTTGAAGGAACAGAATATCTGTAAGTTTCCAGTTCAATTAGCAAAATCTGCATTTTTTTCAAGCTCCCAATAATGACATCTATAAATGTTTTAGTTTTGATAACAAGATGACAGCTGTACATAACTGTTGCAGTCTAAACAGACAGAATCATTAATGTCACTGCAGTAGGACTGACTTTACTCATTGATGGTTCCTACAATTACACAGAACTTTATAACGTTGCCCCAGCCATATTCAGAGTATTATTTGAACTTATCTTGTTAACAAAAAAGTCTAAACAAGTTTAAGACTCCTTAGTTTTGCAACATTCATATGTTAATAAAGTTTCTTTTCAGTGTGATTGTTTGTAGCAATTTGAATTAAAAGAATTAAAAGCATAGATTTATTAAAGGTAAATTGTGTTTGACTAACTTGATTGAAGTAATAATGACGAAGGTTATTGAGGGTTGTTGGGTTGATTTTGTGTGCATGAACTTACAGGCTGCTTTCAATAAAGTACCACTTCATAGACTTCAACAGATTTGAAGCATGTTACGTTAAAGGGCAGTGACTATTTTTATATGAAATTGATTAAGGGACAGAAAGCATGGTGAATGATTGCCTTTCAGACTGGAAGTAAGCACTGGCCACAGCTGGAGTATTGTAGTCAGTTCTGGTCAAACACTTTAGGTCGATTGTCAAGGCCCTAGAGATAATGCAGAAGAAACTGTACCAGAATGGAACCAGTGATGAAGGATTTCAGTCATGTAGAGAGAAAAGAGAAACTTGAATTGTTTTCCATGAAGTAGAACTAGGTAAGCGGAGAATGGAAAATTGTTCAAAATCATGTTGCATTTTGACAAAATGCATACAGAGTAACTGTTTTTATTAGCAAAAATGTCAATAACCAGAGGCTTTAGGTTTGAAGTGTTTGTCTAAAGCACCAGAGGTGACAGGGTTAAAAAATATACATTCCAGATCTGATGCAGATAAATAATACATTTTGAAAGGGGAATTGGATAAACATTTGAAATTGAAACATCTACAGTGCTCTGGGGAGAAAGGGGAAACAAGGGGCTAATTAGGTAAAAGAGCCTGTGGACTGAAGGGTATGCTGCAATAGAAGATTAGTATTATTGATTTCTGTATTCTACTCTTTCAGACTGTTAGCAAACTGCATCTCGGGGGATACTACGAGAATCTGTATTTGGGATTTAGCTGTTTACAATCTTTGTTGATGAGGGGACAGGATGCAAGGTCAGGTAGTAAGGTACACAACAGTAAGGACACAAGGGCTGCAGAGGAATTATAGATAGGTAGGGTGAGTGGGCAAGAATATGGCAGGTGGAATACAAAATGGCAAAATATAAGTTACGTAGGAAAAGAAAAGCAAAATATTTTTGAATCATGAAAGACTGGAAAATGTTTGCATTCAGAGGCACACTGGTACCCTTGAACAGGAATCACAAAGTAAACTTGTAGGTACAGCAAGCAATTAGGAAGGCAAATGACATTCTTTAGTTGCAAACAGATTGGAATAGAAGTCTTTTCCACATTATGCATATATATGGGGCATTGGTGAGGCCACATCTAGAATACTTTGTGTAGTTTTGGCCCCTTAACCCAAGGAGGTCATACTTGCCCAAGGGGCAGAGCATCAAATTTCCAGTTCCCTGCTTTCTGACAAAGGAGGAAAAAGCATTGTAATTTTATAGAGAGGAAGAAATCTCTCCAGTCTCTCACTGCACCCTGCTTGGCTCCAGTATTGATAGGAGTCCTAAGACCAGTTGTTCCCTTGTGTTGACTCCCACTGGACTTGTTGCCAGAAAGGTAGAGGGCATGGTACAGTTCAAGTGGTTATGGCAAGTTGAACTGTCAACCTTCGGGAGATATGCTCATGATATCATCAGAGCATCATAGTATGTTACCTAAGGGTGTAAAGATTACATGCTCCATCTTAACGTGGATCACTTGAAGCATTACATGCTTAATGGAAACGTGCTGCTCTATATGATTTCAAAGTTTAACTCTAGCCCAGACACTAATGTGCCTGTGAATTTAATACTTATATGTAGCAAGGTGTTTCAAAAAACAAATCTGGAGGAACTTTCAATACAGCATTATCTACCCCTAATTTCTTTGGCTACAGTGGATAAATTGCTTCATCAGGAAAGATACCCTGCTGGTGCCAGAAGCCTGATGAACTGTGACCGGTATGTGACCTGCGTTGGTTGCTTTGTGCTCCTGGAACAAGGAAGCTGCTACGTACATTCCAGGCTGGAGATAGAGTCTTGCCACATGCAACCTTGTTCTGCAGTCTCAATCCACAGGCTACAGCAATAGCAACTGTCAGATCCTTTGAAGAGAGTGGAAGCCATGACAGATATGTTGTTCAGTCTACTACTTAAAGCCTCAAACGCCGAGATCAGACCTTCCATTTAGGTGGAAGCCTTTTCTGGTGCGTTGATTCTCGCGGGTTTAATTTTGACTGCACAATGTTGATGCTCACCATTACAGCTACTTAGATGTTTTACCAGCTTAGGTTCAACTTTTAAGTGGCTTTTCTGAAGAAATGCTGGCTTGCTCCACTTCCTTAGAATCTCCCTGATTTCTGAAACTAGCTTGTAATGCTGGAGGGCTCATTTGGCTTTGCTAGTTGGAATGTGTTTATGCCTGTACCTCGTTGAAAGATGGATAACTTTGACTCTGCCTGAAAGTAGCTTGAAGCTGAAGAGGACAGAGTTCTCTCCCATGAAGATAATGGGAAGTGTGTGTGTTTGGTGTTGCATTGTCCTCACAGCTAATGGCTGAATCAGAACATGTTCTAACATAGCTTTACTTCATGTTCTCCATATGTTCATCCTTTCTTCTTTGCCAGCTTTTCCTCTTTGTTCCTTCTACTTCCAGAGTGATGGGCTTCAGTCATCTAGAATTACCTTTTTGGAGGTAAAAAGCAGTCGGTTAAAATTTGCGACTTTGTCGACCCAGGCATGATCCATGATGAAGGAGATAGCAAATCTCACCCTACCCCAATGCTTTTAGAAATAAAAAGTGAACAATACCCTTTCCTGCACTCAGCCCATCTCTCAATGTGACCTCTTCTGATCAGATTGTTGCAGCAGTTCAAGCAAGATTTTCATCATCCTCTGCTTGTGGAATCAGGGAGCGTAGGTTTGAAACTTCATCTCCTGGTATTGTGGACCATCTTGTCTTGTAAAGACAAAAGTGAGGTAATTTAAGTTTGAAGTCACTGATTTTATGCAACAGTTGAAGGGCAACTGGTTTGTATCTTGCCAAGGAATGTTGCTCAGAAACTGGAGAATCTTGAGCAAGTGGTCATTGTGAATGCCAAATGTTTATGCACTTGGGACAAAGAATGGTTCATTGTTTACTCTCTTGCACTTTAAGAATCTGTAATACTCTCTTGCACTTTAAGAATCTGTAACCTATCTGCTTTTCCCAGCATTATGATACTCTTGTTTTTCTTTCTGTCCATTTGTTAGAACATGACAGGTTCCAGCAGACAAAGAGTGGAGTCACTAAGTGGTGGAGTTGCATCTACAAAAAAGACCAAAAGGAAGGCTCCCTTGCCTCCAACTAAAATAGAAGACCAAAACACCCAAGATAATAAATCAGGTTATTATATTTATTTTTACTTTCAATTTTTCTTGAGAGTGATAGTTTGAGTAATACAGCAGAGCTTAATTAAGTTGGTACGCTATAATTTTAATATTTTAATATCCTAGTATTCCATATTGAGTAACTGCAAATAGGGGAATAAATCATATTCCTAAATGCTGTAGCTTTTAGCTTTTTTGATGAAAGTACACTGAAAAATGTTTCTAATTCTTTTTTTACAAAAGAGACGCTACTTTTTTTCAACCTTTTTGTTTTAACCCTGCTTTTATTAAGAGTATATGCCATGAAATTAGTTCCATTGAGCTAGCTTTCCAAACCAAAACATTGATATGTACAAGACCAGAATTATTTTTTAAGACTGATGCATGTAATCCGCAAGATAAAAGCTGTTGTGTAATATTTTGCCATAGATGGAGAATTATTTGACAAACGGGAAGCAGAGAGTAGGAATAAACTAGGCATTTTCACATTGGCAGGCTGTAACCAACTGAGCACAGCAAAGATTAATTGTGGGCCCCAAACTATGTACAATTTATATTAATAGCTTAGAAAATGAGAGTAATCAACCAAAGTTTCCTGACATTGTAAATTTAGATGAGAATTAAGCAGTGATGACACAGTATGTTGCAGAGAGATAAAGACTTGTTAACTGAATAAGTAACAGGGTGGAAGATGGGGAGGGGAAAGCAGAATAATATTTAAAAGTAACGAAACTTCTAAATGATGATGTTAAATGTTGTTAAATTATGTTATTTTTTTTTAAACTTAATTTCTGTTTCAGTCATGGAAGCATGTCTTGATATTTTATTGTTTTACAGATTTGGACCTAATTGTTTTATATGCACTCGGTAGAATATGTTCCAAACTAGAGCTCATTACTCAAAATAAAGTACCTGGACTTTGTTTATAGTACTACCTTAAATTCTTAATAGCCTACTGATTTGTGACATGATAGTGTCTGCATGTTAACTTGGATCTGCACATCAACATGGAAGGAAATTATTACTTAAGAGACAATGCCTTAAATGAAGGAAATTTGTTTTTTACTGTTTTACACATTAATAATAAATCCAAAAGACCTTGTTTCAACACAGGAGTTAGTGAGCAGCAAAATTCCAATGCATCACCAATGTGAGGCTAGGGTGATCCAGCTCCGAAGTCGTTTTAGTGTGATTGATGGACTTCCACTTGATTGCATCAAGAAATGAGTATCCTGTCTATTTCCATTGTGTATTTTCTGGCTACCACTTAAAACAAAATTGGATTTCCTTCTCCCTGATTTAACATGCTAAACGGCTACAAAAAGAAGATAAATTACACAATTGATGCCAAGTTCTCAAGTTGACTCCGTTAAAAGGCTAAATCTATGTCATAGCTGCCTTCTTGAGTTGACCTAAAATAATCCATGTCGTTATTCAAAGATAAGCAGTGAAATTTCTCCTGATATTAGGATCAATATTTCACCCTTATCTGCAACCATGAAAATTATATTACTAGGTCAATCATTTCATTGCGGTTTTGCACAAACATGCAGTGGACACCTTGCTGCTACATATATCTACCAAAATATTGACTGCATTTTAAAAAGCATTAAACTGGCTATCAAGCACTTTGCAACATCCTGAAGATATGAAAGGCACTGTATGAAATTATTTTCCTATTGTTCTGACCTCAGACAGTGCCATCTGCTGACAGAATGAAAGAATGCAAAAGTTTATCCTAAACTAGTCTTTAAGGACAGTGTAATGCAACATTGCCAAGCACTACGTTAACATGCTTAAGTTGCCCTTTGGACGTTGAGACATAAGAAAAAAAGAAGCTGATGTATTTTCAAAACTCCTTGCCCAAAATGTTTATCCCTGACAGAGGCAAAAAATTTGGCCAATTCAAAGGGAATAAGTTTGGAAAAAGAATCATTTTTGACCCAAAGCTGTTCAAAGAAGAGTTCCAGAAGTGAGGGTGATTTTGTTACCTCATCCAGATCCCATTTATCTTTTTAAGCATGCAGCAATATCAGCCACATTCAGCAACTTGCCCAGTTCTCTTTTTCACTTTCGCTGTAATTCCATACTCCTGCACAAGCCAGTAACTTATTCCAAAGGTCATTGAACTTCTATACAAAGGAAAATCTCTAAAATCTGTTGTAGTTTCATATGTATGTATATTAAATGCATATCCCTCATTTTCCCAAATTTTCTAAGATAATGTGGTAAAATATAGCAGTGATTTTTTTTAAAGTTTAATAAGTTCTTATGTATTTAAACCAATTTCTCAGAAGCAGATGATTGAATTGGAGATTTTAGAAAAAGTTATGAGGACCTGGGTAGTCTGATATTTTGCATCTGATATGGCTTTAACAAACGTTTAAAGAAATGTATTAGTATTGTAAATTGAGATTAATGTGATGTATCTTTTTTCAATTGGTTATGTCAGGAAGGTGTACTTATTTTAAGCACGTCATTGAAAATCTGTATTTGTTCTGATTGAAGCGTGTGTTGAGTGTTGCGATACAAAACTTTTGAGCTATTGTAAGAATTCCAGAGTAATCATTGCCAAGGTCTATGTACTACGGAGGTAATTAAGATTTTAATCAAGGTAACATTAGTGGAAAAGTGGTATTTCTGTCTTGACAATACTGTTGTAATTTGTGCTTTTAGATTCTAATCAAGGATCAGTGGATTTATGTCCAAGTCCTGACACTGCAGATAAGGCTTCTGCTAGTAAAATACCATATACCTCAGCTGATGATCACGGTAAAAATATTTCTCGCTTATCAGCAATTATTTCCTCCTGGCCAAGACGCATCTATGTATAATTTGCTTAAAAAAAAAATCACTTTGGTTATTCTTAAGAAGAAAAGTTATGTTTAACGTAAAGCTCTAAAATAAGTTTAGTATGATTTTTGAAAACCCTGTCAAATATACAGCCCAATGTATGCAATAAGAACATTTTATTTAAAAAAAGCTTGGGACATTTCAAGACATTTCACAGCCATTACTTTTGAGGGGTATTCACTGTTGTAATTAACACACGATTTCAAAAATACATTTAAATTAATTCAGACGGAGAGTAGGCAATTAATTTTGGGCAGTAGTCTGAACTAGTCATTGGCAAATTGACTGTCTGTTCACTTTAGATAAATACAAAAGAAATCAGGCAGAATGTGAAATATGGCGATTCATGACCACTTGACTGGTGCTCCTGGCCAAAAGAACTTTTTGCCCATATAAATGCTCTTCTCTATTTTATACAAATAAATAGGATTCTGTTTGAAATATAAATGTTCAACAATTTGTGATGACTTTTACTTTCATGCATGAATGTGTATGTGACTCTTAAAAAGAAAAATAGATGAGTAAACATCATCTTGTAAGACCAAATCAAATAAGAACAGGAAGAGGTTGTTCAGCCCTTCGAGATTGTTCCATGATTCATTCAGTGGCTGATCCAACATTGGTCACGTCCACTTTCCCGCCCTTACCCCATAACCAACGATTTTCCTCCTGATCAAGAATCTATCCATCTCAGCCTTAAAGACACACAAGGACTCTGCCTCCACAGTGTTCGGTGGCAAGGCGTTCCAAAAGTTCTCAACCCTTTGAGTCAAGAAATTCCTCCCCATCTCAGTCTTAAATTGGTGCTCCTTTATTCTAAGTCTATACCTTCCAGGCCCACACCATCCCATGAGGGGAATTAACATCTCAGCTTTTATCCTGACAAGCCCCTTAAGAATCCAATATGCTTCAATGAGATCATTTTTCATTCATCTAAACTCTAGTGAGTAGAGGCCCAACCTGTTTAGCCTCTGCTCTTAAAATTACCTCTCCTTTCCAAAATAATCCTAGTGAACCTTCCCAGACCTGCCTCCAATGAAGTAATATCTTTCCTTAAATAAGGGGACTAAAACTGCTCATAGTACTCCAGGTTTGCTCTCACCAGCACTTTGCACAGGATTACAGCAAGTTTGTGAAGAAAATATGCTACATCAGCACTTGAATTCATGTCTGCAAATTATCATTTCATCCCATGTCACAGAAAACTGCTTTTGTTGAAGCTACGATATTCTCATATAGAGTGACAGTAATCAGTTTCACACTTCATTACAGATACATCAGCAGACAGTTAAATTCCCTGAACTTAAAATGCAAATTAAGGGAGTCTTTTTACACAATGTCTTGCATACCCTTCATCTCTACTTTAAAGATCAACCTGAATTTAGAGACTTCCTGAAATCATTATGCATTTATGTTTAAAAAGTGCACAAGTTTAATGCATTTATACATTTGAACAAGAAAATATTTTAACAGCCTTTTAAGCTGTTCAACAAAGAGGTTGTTGTCAATGCAGAAAACTTTGAGCACAAGTAAATACGGGTTAGAATGCAAGAACCCCCACTCCCATTGGCTCGCAAAAGCCTATTCATATTCCTGTATGTATTCCTCCCTATCCCTCTAAGAAACATTGTTTAGCTCTTAAGAATTCTCCGACCTTGTGGTTTCCTTCACGCCATCAAATTTGAAATAATATTATTATAAGCAACTACTGGCATGTAGAAGTTTAAATTAAGTCTCTCAGGGAAGAGATTTACAAATGACTGGATACTCCCATTTAGCAATAATGCCCAAATTTATTAAAATAATTTCCAACACAGTAACTATTCTTAAGAGCAACCCTTTTGGGGGAAAAAAAACACAGCTGACGTAATTGACCACTTTCATTCTTGTCTATAGATGTAAAAATTCAGCTCTGCTGAGTGAATTGAATAGTCTGGGACTACTCTGTGAACTGCATCATTTCCCTCCCTGTTTTAAGATTGCAGTCTTCTTTATTGACGCCTTTTTCTTCAACTTAATTGAATGCTCCCGATTCCCCCAATATTTCCTGTTTCCATGCAGTAATGATCCCTCTTGTTCTCCTGAATTAATTTACTGAGTGTGATATATCTCTTCTACATCCATAATGCTCCCATAAAAGATACTCTACGTGCTTTGTGTACGAATGAATCTGGGTTGACCTTTTTATTTTAATTTAAGCTGTATAAAATGTATATTGCACAAAGTTGTGGAATATTCAAAACTGACCAGTTAATTAATCATCTGTGTTCCAAGTATTCCTGACACATGAACTGGTGTTGAATTGATTAATCCCCTGGACCCTCAGTTAAATGATATGAACAAACAAAATTAATGCAAGATTTCATAGTTATAGGAAATGTAAATAAGTTTTATATAAGTTTTTAATCTGTATGGAGGATTGAGTGCAAGGAGCTACAAATACCGGATGGAGTGGTAACTGAGATTTTTTTTTAATAGTGACATGATATTTCCTGATAATAACAATTACACCTATTCTTTTGATAAGAGGGAGATCCACAAGTACAGAACATAAAGGCTCTCAAGTTATAGGAGGGCTATGTATACGGGAGAGGTAGTGTCATCTGGGTCTTTAAAGACCCGCATTGATGGTCAAACGTCCAACCTTCGGTGATGATGTAAAGCTCAAAACCGCCAACAGTATATTTCAAAGAGATGAAGACATGAAGGTCTCCATTCTCCAGAACTCTACAACTTGATATATATTTACAAGCAAGCAATTGTTAACTTCCAACCCATTTTTGGTCTTTATTGCGGTTGTTTCATTTGGTTTTTGGACATCGAACTGTAATGGAATCTACTGTAGTCCGAAAACATATATAAATGGCCAACTGAGAGGATGCTCTGAATGTGAATGAGAGAACAGGAAAGCATATAACCATAAGATATAGGAGCAGAAATAGGCCATTTAGCCCATGAAGTCTTCTATGCCATTCAATCAAAACTGTTACATTTCTCAACCCCATTCACCTGCTTTCTCTCCGTAACCTTTGATCCATTACTAATCAAGAACTTATCTGTCTCTGTCTTAAATACGCTCAGTGACTTTGCATCCACAGCCTTCCGTGGCAATGAGTTCCACAGATTCACCACCTTCTGACTGAAGAAATTCCTCCTCATCTAAGTTCTAAAGCATTGTACCTTCACTCAGAAGCTGTTCCCTTGGGTCCTAGCCTCTCCAACCAGTGGAAATATCATCTTCACATCCACTCTATCAAGGTCGCTCAATACTCTGAAAGTTTCAATGAGGTTCCCCTTCATTCTTCTAAACTCTGCGTACAAACTCAGTTTTCAACTGCATCTCATATGGCAAACCCTTCATCTCTGGGATTATTTTTGTAAACCTCCTCTAGAACCCTTCTAAGGTTAGCATATCCTTCCTTAGATATGGGGCCCTAAACTGCTCCTAATATTCCAAATGTGGTCAGACCAGAGCCTTATACAGCTTTAATTGGTGAAGGCAGGAAAGTGGAATTGGGGATTATCAGATCAATCATGAATGGTAGAACAAACTCAATGGACTGAATGGCCTGCTTTTCATCCAACATCTGAAGGTCTTATTGTGGTCTTATTTTCCGCACAATGAAAGATTGGCAGACTACAAGATTGAGGAACTGAATTAACTGAAGTTCTACAAAAGTAATGATGCATGAGTTTGATTTTGTTTCCTTGTTGTTTGCCTTTGTGTGCCAGAATGGTGAATGACTACATAATCAGAGTATAGATTGCAGAAGGCCTATTACCCATAACTGTGATGTAACCCTGCTAGACCTGTATCAATGGCAAGGACAGTAGTCTTATATTTTTGTGTTAGAGCCTGCAGTTCCTTTGTGTTACTGCTGACATGACTGTTGACTGACTAATTGAATTTCAGGTATCTCAATGGAAATAAACAGTTCAGACATATGCCAACAGAATGTTGAATACTGATCATTCCATTAGATTTCAGGATACCTGTTAAAACCACAGTGCTATACCAAATGTGAAGCTGCCCACAGTATGAGCAACTTATTTCTATCTTCAGCACTGACCCTACAATGTCCATTTCTGTGATTTTTAGTTCCCCTGGAGTTTCCTTCAATATTTTTATTTCAGGCAGATTGGAAATTGACTACTACTTTTGCGCATAAGGTATTGTGTGTGAATTCGAATTGAAATGAGCTGCATTGTTAAGTTCATTCCACCTACCATTTCAGCATTCACGTCTTTACAGTAGGGTGTTCAAACACATAGTTCAGTACTGCAAATGAGGAATGTTGAAATAGAAAATTGCTTCTGATAGTTTTGATGTTAAAAGGAAAGAGAAGGAGGGATATATCTGATCTATTTGCTAAAATCATTTGAGCTGAGATGGTATGAATGGGGTGTCTTGTCCACTGGGTGCTCAGAAAGGATTGTGCCACAAGGGAGCTCCAGTGAACCTACTGGGATCAGCTGCACGCTGTTGTGGCTGGATGCAGTATTTGGCAAACAAGGAAATTCTGGATGGCATCCTGCTTGCACCCATTTTATTGAGGTTTGTTTAGTTTCATAATTATGTGTACCGCAAAATAAATAACTTAAAGATTTGCTGGGACTAAAGGAAATACCATTAATTCATGCCACAACGTCTAGTTGCTAAAATCTGCAACTGCAGACAAAGTAGTGGGTATTTTCAGTTAGACTATGACCTGAACTTTTATTCCTGAATCAGAAGCACAGTGTCTGGAAATTGTCTGACTCGGGAGGTAATGCCCTGGATCGTCTAATTTTTTGAACCAGGGATGTGTGTATTAACAGGAGTTGAGCCCACCACTCTCTTGGAAAGTCTTTGGAGGCAGCTACATTTGTTGCCGAGTGTGGAGGTGGCTTGTGTAAGGGGCAAACCTCAATTCTCCATGATTTGCCAAACAAAAAACAATAAAACCAAAATCAGCCCTCTAGCGCTTGCTGTCCCCTCCAAAACACACGCTGTATGCTCCATCCATGCCACTTCATGACAGCTCATCCTTCCATCTACTCCTTGTCACCAGCCATACACTCTATGCAAACCTGTGTCCCTCTACTCACCCCATGGAACTTTATAGCCCCTATACCAAGTCATGTCCCCTACCCATTATCCTTTATGCCCTTACATGCTCCATGTCATCTCACCAAGTATTCAACATGGGCAGAACTCAGCACTGAAGTTGTAGGTGTTCATTGATGACTTGACCTTTTAAGATAAACACTCTTGTTCAGTAAAAATGCATTCATTTTATTAAGTAAACACATTCATTTCATTAAGTAAACACATTCTTTTCATTAAAGTACATGTCATTAAGAACTTAATCCTTTATATAAAACAAACAAGCATTTGTATTCATAGCCCCACATCAGAGACTCTTAACCACTTGGAACTGTCTGTCAAAATGTACACTGACAAGCAATGCACTGTGATAATGTCAAGCTGTGAAATTAATCATACAGAATAAATCTTATAATGACAGTCTTCGGGCTTGTGTCAATAGATGGTGAAATAGCAAGTACTGATTTTGTTTTTAAATTGCGGTTTTCTCATTTAAAGGGCAGGGAAATTAAATGACGTAACAGTACAGATGAGCATAACGGTTCTGATGAGTTTATCCACTTTTTACGTGCATTCATATCTAATAACAATCCCAAAAGACATCCTGTATTGCCCATGGTCACCCCTCTACTCCCAAAGAGTTCTTTAGATTTATTCAAAAGAATACATCTTCAAATAATTCTGAGTTTAGATTTTCTCTTGAACAAAGAATGCTTTGGGCATCCTGCTTATTTAAAAAAAGTAATGAAGTTCTGTCTCAAAATATCTGTGCTTTTACATGTGCAACTGTCAGAATGAACCACAGATGTGCAAAGTACAACCTGCCCCTTCTCCTCCTCCCACCGAAAATGGTGGGTGTTCAGGGGCAAGACAACCAAAATCAAGAGTGCAGCACCATTTGGCTATGGTGAAGCCCCTTCCCTTTGTTGCAGAACTTCAGACCCCTAAATTCTATCACTTTTTGAGCCAAATGTGATGTTAAGCTGTTAGGTCAGAAGCATTGAAAACAAATATGACAGGTAGCCATGGTGTTTTTGTAGTGGATGTTGTCACTGTTAGAGATTGATAAGTTTTCAATGTGTTTTGAAATTAAATATTGTGGGTTACTTTACAATGGAAAATGTTTTTTTTTTGTGCAGATTGGAATAGATTTGTAATTGCACAAATAAATCCTGCAGAACACTCAACAGGTTTGCTTTGAGGGTTTAGTCTTACCAAAGTACAGATCTGAAAGATGTGTGTTCAATTGTTGAAAACTTCAGTTTTAAGCAGCTTCATAAATTATTGGCATTGCCTAGGTTTTTCATGAATGCACAAACTTAACTCATGTTTTCTTATGGGTACAGCTGGCATTGGATCGGAATGTAACCTTGAAGAGATTATTGAAACAGAAGAAATAAGAGCTGCAGACATTGATGATACAAAAGAAGCTATTGTTCAAAAAGCGGAAGAGGTGCTGTGCCCACCAATTTCCACAGATGGTACATCCAGTTCTCAAAGTGTACAGACTTCAGATCCTGCCAACTCGGATGAGCATTGTTCTTATACAGTGACAAATAAAGAAGCTGATATCAAATCTGAGGGCAAGTAAGTGATAGTGAATTATATAAAACAAAGAACTGCAAAATGCTGGAGATCTGAAACGAAAACAAAAATGACTGGAGAAGCTCAGCACGTCTGGCAGCATCTGTAGGAAGAAATTAGTTAACATTTTTAGTCTGGTGACTTGGTTCTGACAATACGTTAACTCAGCTTTCTTCCCATAGATGCAGCTGGTGAATTATATTGTTGATGGCCTTGTGCACACATTGATATTTACAGCACAAGAGGAGGCACTTTGTCTTATTGTGTCGAGGTTGGTAAACAAAGATCTGATCACACTAATCCCTAGTCCCTAGTCACTACTCACTAGTCCCGCCTTCACATTGAGGATAACCTCTATCGTATTGAGTGGCACTATCACTGTGCTAAATGGGACAGACTTCAAACAGATCTAGCAACTGAAGACTGGGCATCCATGAGGCACTGTGGGCCATCAATAGCAGCAGAATTGTACTCCAGCACAATCTGTAACCTCATGGCCTGGCATATCCCCCACTCAACCATTACCATCAATCTATGGGATCAACCCTGGTTCAATGGAGAGTGCAGGAGTGCATGCCAGGAGCAGCACCAGGCATACATGAAGATGAGGTGTCAACCTGGTGAAGCCACCAAACAGGACTACTTGCATGCCAAACAGCATAAGCAGCAAGTGATAGACAGAGCTAAGCGATCCCACAACTAATGGATCAGAACTAGGCTCTGCCGTCCTCCCAGTTGTGAATGAACGATTACACAATTCAACAACTCACTGGAGAAGGAGACTCCACAAATATCCCCATCCTCAGTGATGGAAGAGCCAGCACATCAGTGCGCAAGATAAGGCTGAAACTTTCGTAGCAGTCTTCAGCCAGAAGTGCCGAGTGGAAGATCCATCTCGGCATTCTCCAGTGGTCCCCAGCATTACAGATACCAGTCTTCAGCCAATTTGATTCACTCCACGTGATATCAGAAATGGTTGGAGACATTGGATCCTGAAAAGGCTATGGGCTCTGACAACATTCTGGCAATAGTACTAAAGATTAGCGCACCAGAATTTGCTGGTCCCCTAGCCAAGCTGTTCCTGTACAGCTATAACATTGGCATCTACCTGACAATGTGGAGAATTGCTCAAGTATGTCCTGTACATAAAATGCAACACAAGTCCAACCCGGCCAATTACCGCTGCATCAACCTGACTCTCAATCATCAGCAGAATGATGGTGGATGTCATCAGCAGTGCTGTCAAGCAACATCTGCTCAGTGATGGTCTGTTCGGGTTCTGCCAGGGCCACTCAACTCCTGACCTCTTACAGCCTTGGTTCAAACATGGACAAAAGAGCTGAATTCCAGAGGTGAGGTGAGAGTGACAGCTCTTGACACCGAGACTGCATTTGCCTGAGTGTGACATCAAGAAGCCCTAGCAAAACTGGGTATCAGGGGGCAAACTATCCAGTGGTTGGAGTCTTACCTGGTAAATAGAAAGATGGTCGTGGTTGTTGGAGGTCAATCATCTCAGCTTCAGGACATCTCTGCAGGAGTACCTCAGGGTAGTGTCCTGGACCCAACCATTCTCAGTTGTTTCATCAATAACATTCCCCCCCACCAATCATAAGGTCAGAAGTAGGAATGTTCGCCAATGACTGCACAATGTTCAGCACCATTCACGACTCCTCAGATACTGAAGCAGACAATGTCCAAATGCAACAAGATCTGGATAATATCCAAGATCGGGCTGACAAGTGGAAAGTAATATTTGTGCCGCATGAATGCCAAGTTATGTCATCACTAATAAGCAACAATCTAACCACTGCCCCTTGACATCCAATGGTGTTATCGTCACTGAATCCACCACTGTTGACATCCCTGGAGTTATCATTGACCAGAAATTCAACTGGCCTCACCACATAAAAACATTTGGCTACAAGAGCAGGTCAGAGGCTAGGAATACTTCAGTGAGTAAATCACCTCCTGACTTCCCAAATCCTGTCCATCATTGACAAGGCAGACGTCAGGAGTGTGATGGAATACCCCCCACTTGCCTGGATGACAACACTCGAGAAGCTTGATACCATCCAGGACAAAGAAGCCCGCTTGATAGGCACTACATCCCCAAGCATCCACTCCCTCCACTACCAACACTCAGTTGCAGCTGTGCAAGATGCACTGCAGAAATTCACCAAAAATCCTCAGACAACACCTTCCAAACACATGACCATTTCCATCTTGAAGGACAAAGGCAGCAGATATAAGGGAACAACACCATCTTCAAGTTCCCCTCCAAGCCACTCACCAACCTGACTTGGAAGTATATCACCGTTCCTTCACTGTCGCTGGGTCAAATTCCTGGAATTCCCTCCCTAATGGCATTGTTGGCCAGCCAACAGCAGGTGGACTACAGCAGTTAAAGAAGGCAGCTCACCATCACCCTCTGAAGGGCAACTAGCGGCTGGCATAAATGTTGGCCAGTCTGCGATGCCAACATCCCACAAATGAATAAAAAGAAAATAATTCTGGTTGTATAGTCAGCCCAACTTAGTTGTTTGGCATGGCAGCTTGGGTGAACACCCCAGAATCTGATATGTCACTCTGCATCTTTGATCTTTGTCTGCTCTTTGAAGTTTCAACTGAAAGTGGTTGAACTTTTTGCTATTATACTCGTACACAGTTCAAGTATCAGATGAGTAAAGCAGAGTGGGCGGAACTGTTGTTCCATTGATTATAATAATGGATAATTTACCTATTCAGTGGGATTTAGTGGACTAGAAACAAAGGAAATTTAGCACAGAAGGAGTCCTTCCTTGCCTACATTGGCTTGATGTTACAAAATCCCACTTTTTTTTCCCTTTGTACCCAAACTAATACCCTAATGTACCTGTAAGGCAATTACCAGTATTGTGATTAGTCATTAATTTATTTCCTTTCATTAAACAGGTGCTAAACAACGCACATTCTGTTAATCTTGTCATGAAAGTTTATTTTTGTGTTTATAGCTCAACTTCTCAACCAATGAGAATCTATTAACTTCGTACCTCCAGTTCAATCAAATTTAATAATGTCAGTTCTGTATTGAAATAATTTTAATGCTGTGAACTAAATCAATTTGAAGTGTTGGGCATCATAATTATAAATATTCTATTTACAACGTGGTTGCAATCCTCACCCACTCCATTTTTAAATGATCATTATAGTTTGCAAAATCAGCATTCAAATTAATACAAGCCCTTTATAATACATGTGCCTCCTTTTTTCTTGTGCTTTAACAGAATAAATACAGCAGAAGATGTGTGTCACCAAATAGTGACAGAAAAGGGTAAAAATTTGATAACAAATGTGGATGTGGATCTGTCAATGGCAAACGCAAATGGTAAGTACCATATATAAATAATGAAAAATCTGTGTGCAATTCTAAGCCTTCAGAACTTAAATTAGCATTTGAAGTAATCCATGTAAACTGGATTGTCCTCAATTTTCAATTTGAAGTAATCCATGTAAACTGGATTGTCCTCAATTTTCTTGTTCAGACCAAAAGATGTAGGAACAGAAATAGGCTATTTAGCTATCAAATATGCAAAGCCATTCAATGAGATCATTGCTGACCTCAAAATTCTAAATTCCACTTTCCACCCTCTTCCCCATAAACCTTGATTCCCTTCCTGAATAAAATTTTGTCTGTCTCAGTCTTGAATGTACTTAATGACCTAGCCTTGACGGCCCTCTGTGATAAAGCATTCCTTAGATTCTTCATCTCCTGAGAAAAGAAATTCCTCTTCATCTTTATCCTAACTGGATGACCCCATACCCTGAGTTTATGCACTCTGGCCCTAGGTTCTTCCACAAGGGGACATAAACTCTCTGTATCTATCCTGACAAGTCCCTTAAGGATCTTGCATCCTTATTTTAACCCCAATGAGTATAAGCCCAACCTACTCAGCTTGTCCTCTGCAGAATCAATCTAGTGCACATTCTCTGGACTGCTTCCAGTGCTAGTGTATCTTTCTTTAGATAAGGGGACCAAAAATGTTTGCAGTTTTCCAGCTGTGGTCTGACTAGTGCCTTGTAGTTTGCGCAAAACCTCTCTACTTTTATAATCCATTCTCTTTGAAATACTAGCCAACATTCTATTTGCTTTGCTTATTACTTACGGAATTTGTTAGTTTTTTGTGATGTATGCATGAGAACTGCCCTCTCTGCTGTAGCTTTCTGTAGTCTTTCTCCATTTAAATACTATTCAATCAGTCTATTCTTCCTGTCAAAATACATACTCTCACTTGTTCCCACGTGATATTCTATCTGCCAAGTTTTTGCCCATTCACTTAACCTGTCTATATCTTCTGCAAACTCTGTCATTCTCAGCTTTGCCTTCCCACCTATTTTTGTGTCATCAGCAAACTTGGCTATAGTACATTCATTTTCTTTATCCAAGTTATTAATGTACAGGTTGGAAATATATACATATGCATTATTGATATTAACCATTTAAACTTTTAGTTAAGTACATTAGATGAAATCTTCAATCAAAATGTACATGGTCAACTTTTACAGGAGCAGTGTTTTGCAGAGGTTTTAATTTTCCGTCTTCCATCACCTCCCTACCTCCGTTGCTGGGTCAGAGACTATTCCCACCAATCCTACTCCCAAAAGCAGCAGAGAGAAGCCGAAAGTAAATATACAGAATCAGGTGCTGAGCAGTTGACTGCATAAACAGTTAGTGCATCTAATACACAGGATTACATCTTACTTTGTATCACAGAAACAGGCTGTTCAGTGCAATAGACCTGTGCTGGTATTTTTGCTCCGCACAAACCTCTTGCCACTACATTTAGAATAGTTGAATTGTGTGCCCAATACCTGTTTATTTGGCAGCAGGAAGTTGAAGTATCACAGTAAAACTCTGCTGCAACTGGACTGCAACTTGATCTTTTTGACATGTACATCGATGAAACTCCAGGAGAAATGGGTACAATCAGAATTATCCAGTTCAGTCGGTACAACTGAGTATTTAAGTATATGATATATAATAAAGGGCCACATAATGCTATTGTTGATCTAATGGATTATCTTTCTTAATTTAAACAAGGTACTCTGCCCCAGTCCAACACCAGTATCTCCACACCTTAATTTAAAACACAATAACGTTTCAGTTTCCTGTCTCTTCTACCTTCATCTGGTACCTCGATGCTTGACTCCCTTTTTGCTGTCATTTTCATGTTTTAAAAATCTGATTCATGTGCCTGCTTTTGGTCAAAATTAATGACAAAATACAATGGAATTAATCATTGTAACTGGCTTATAGTTCTGCTGAGCTCTTCAAGTGACTAGGATTGTCTCTTCATCATAAAGTGCAGCTAGTCATTTGAATAACAAACTACCCTTTTATCCACCGTTCCACGGAAAAATGACACTCACCATAAGTGATGCCATGAGAAATTTGTTTGTGTTGTAAATCAGCAAAGGCAGTACTCCATTAGATATTTTGCTGCACATTTCTCCATTTTTAAGCTTCAATTATGGATGTAAATACTTGTGGAATTTCCTGTTATTGCTAGTAATTTTTGTCATGCAAGTAAACTGATCAGATTCTTTGCTTGCATTTTAGTTGAAGAACCAGTAATTGTGGAAAATGTACGCAATGATATGCATCAGGGAGATTCTGATGGAATTTCAACCATGAGGACCATGTTACCACCTGATGAAGGAATAGCAGGACAGTCTACTCAAACTCCAGAAGAAAAAAGCACTTGTAGTGATGCAAGGACCAGTCCTGCGGCAAAACATTCTGCCAATTCTCAACCATCAAATGTAACTGATAAAGACAATCGAAAAATTTCAGACACAGTGGAGATCAACGAGCTGGAAATTAAAAAAAATAATTCTGAAGAGTCTGATAAAACAGTGGATTTCCAGAATGCCCATTATACAAAAACAACAGAGAGTACCGTTACCCTAACATCTGATACAACTTTGACAAATACATCAGAAAGTACTTCTGAACAATACCCACAAGTCAATAATTTCACCGTTGCTCAGACGACACCAGCAAAGCAACAGAATTATGTGTCATCAAATACGTCTGCTGATGCAACGGCACGCACACTTGCTGATAAGCAGGATAAGATGTCTATTAACCAACCAGCTACAGAATCCTCCGCATCCAATGATCCCCGTGCATCATTGCCAACCAAAGTTGCCACCAGAAGTCCAGAAAGTCCGACAAAGATTCCAGTGCTATATAAGTGTGAGTCTGAGCCTAAGCCCAAGCCTTCAAATGAAATCACAAGAGACTATATACCAAAGATTGGAATGACAACCTATAAAATTGTCCCCTCAAAGTCATTAGAAAATGAAGCATTTGTCACATATGGAGTCGTGCCAGTAGCTGAAATAACAGATCAGCAAAAAGGATCTTATGATGTTGTCCCAGTGCCTGACACTTCAAAAGAGTCAACAAAGCTGCCTGGTACCTTAGAAGAACCTCTAACCAATGTTATAAGAGAGCTAACTGCTTTTCACCAAGGAGCTAATTTTGATAAAAGTGCTAAAGGGAAATCCATTAATTCTGCCATCCAAACTCATCACCCAGAAACAACAGATTCCAAATTGCTTGCTGACAGTGAAGATGGGCAATCCAAGGTGTTAGTAAATAGAAGAACCCAGAGTACTTCAGAGAGGAAAATGAAGCCTGGATCAGTCTTCCTCCAGCTGCATAAAAGGAGCTCAGGACAATATGTTACCTCTGCACTTGCTAGAAGTTCTAGTTTACCTTCTCAATCTAGCTTAGATAGAGATAACACATTCTTACCAAAAGAAGAAAATGGTGTGTCAGTTCAGGAAGTTATTCCAACAAATGCAGATGATCTAAATGTTATAATTCCACCACCTCCAGAATTTGCTGCAATTTCTGAAGGGAATGCCCAGAAAGAATTGCCCAAATCTGGGGAGACACCTATATCTCGACCTTCGATACCTCCCAAAGTACCGAAGAAGCCATCTATTCGTGTAAAATTAGATGACACAAAAGCTGTCAGAACTACTGTTGTTGCTGCAAGAACATACAGTCCTACCTCACCATCACCTTTTGCTCTTGCGGTGTCTTCAGCAGTCAAGAAAACACAAACAAATCCAACATATTGCTTTAAACCCAGGAGTGCTGGAATGGATTCATCAACCCTGTCCTCTCCAATTAATTCTGCAGAAAGAGAATTGCATCCAGCTTTAACGGTTCATAATGAGTCCAGTCACAACAGCTTACCGAAACAGGTAACAGCAGTACAATAATGGAAGGTTGTTTACTGATTCTAACATGCAAAAAAAATCTATTGTTCCATTAGGTGTTCCTTTGTCCTTGTAAATTGATCTATGCAACTTCAATTCAAGGAAGTACCTAATCACAATAACGTGATTACTTTTTTAAAACAAAACAGTAATGCCATTGGAAATTTCATGAACAGGTTATTTAGAGAAGTTTGTTTTGAGTAAAAGGTTAAACTTCCTTTTAGAAATTTGTGTAAATACTAATATGTCATATGATTTTAAACAGATGATTTGCTATGATAGTGATCATTTCAAATCCTCTCTGCTGTTATAACAAGTGTCATACTGTGTTACACCAGTTGTTACATTATATATTTTTAATTAACCTATTCAGGTGTGCTATGACACATCTCTGGAGCAGATGGGGTTTGAACCCCAGTTTTCTGATCCAGAGGTGGGGCCCTACTATTGTGCCATGAGCACTCTTGATTATTCTATGATTAAGGTGTTTCATAGAAGCTTCCCTTTTAAGGTCATAAAGTCTAAATAATGTGAAAGTTGAGCATCCCAAGGAAAGTTGAGTTAACTGTTCCTAGTGAGAGAAATTCACAATATTAAATGCCTTGGCCCAATTCAGAGGAAAAGAAATTGAGCTGGATAAATAACAGCATACTTAGAAATTACTTTAAAAAGTTGATGTCAGAACCACAAGAATGGACAGATGAATAGCACCAACAAATGTGAATACCACTGTAGTGATTGTAAAGAGGTCAGCCAGGTGGACCTCAGAATATAAATTACCTGATTGGGGCTGTTAATCTGGTCCAATCAGGGAGCCCTGGCGGACAGTAAGAACAGGAGTGTTAGAGGTTCCGTTCACTCTGGGAGCTGGATCTGTGTCAAGGACTCTCCATGTGTAATTAAAGGGTGACTTACGATCTGATACCGGCCTCTAGAGTTACTTCACCCACCACAGCCCTGCAGGTTGCTCTCTAGTCACTGGGAGACCTAACAAGGAGAGGGAATAATCCCTTTGGTTCAACATACAAGCTAATAAGGAGTTCTGATTTGGCTGTTATATACCTGAGAATACTGCTTTGAGCTGAGCATAGATGCTAATAAAACATTTCTGGCTACTAATTAATTTACTTTGCAATTATAGTATGTAAACAATGGAAGTGAAATAAAATGTAAGCCTAGATACTATGAAGATTACCTACTAATGCTAGAAATTTAAAAAATTATTGCTTGACACAAGGTTTCCTAAATTCAAGGTGGCATTGAAATTTTGGGGTTTGCAGAGTTAGAGGCAGTATTGGCTGCCATGGAACTCTGACTGAGTGACTGGCTGCGAGATAGCTTTAAATTCTTATTTTTTTTTCCCGAACTATGACACTCCACAACCCTGCCCTTAGAGTTTGCATTGAGGGGTCATGACAATCCTCCACCATCAATATAATGTCCTGATGTGAAAAGGCTCAAAATCCTCTGACTTTCTCAGTCATATTTCACTTGACATTGACATTTTGTTGAATGATTTGTTGATGCTTTTCTCCTCATAAAGTGTCACTGTTCATGGTGAAATCATTTTCTTTAGCGCTAAATTGGAGAAGTCCTAAGACAATAGCAGGGATACATTAAGTGTAAATCCCTTCTACAAGTACTTGGCACAATTGTACACTTTATCTAGTCTAGTTGCTAATATTATCTAAGTAGGCAACTGCAATATTTTTGCACCAGAATAACAGAAATTATAGGACATTTTTGAATCTTAAAGGCTGGTAACTTATGAAATCCTGTTGCCAGATGTGTGTTTGGGACTGATATTGGCTGAACCATTAAATGAGAGATCTTTCATAAATAAATCCACATCAACGGATTTTGCATGATGGCAAGTTCTTTAGCAGTAGGAGCCATACTAACTTTAAAATGAAGTTATTATATCTGAAAACTTGTTATTTTCTAACAAGTAATAGATGGCCATACTACTGAAAAGCCAAAAAAGCTCCATTTTCCTATTCTCCATAGAGAAAACTCAACTTTAATAGTATTATACATACAGTACCCAGTGAAACAAGCACTTGTGAGTATTAAACTGTAGTCCACAGCTGAGTTTACATCATTATGTAATGATATGGTCTAGGAACATCACGTGCTAGGTCCCAAATGCAGCAAATTATATCTTGATGAAAATGCTGCTAGACATTTCCAAGTAGGAGGCAAATTAAAAATAAATAATTCTGTCTCAATTCCACTACAAAATTAACTTTGATGGATTGGGACATACTGTCTGGATGGTCAGAAACGGTTTCCTCTTGCCAAGTTCTGTTTTCTCAACTTCCAGTCAGTTACCATTCTGGGGAGCAGACCCCTTGAAGTACAGCAACATGGAAATTAATGAATGCAAGGAACCTGCCAACAGTGATTCAAAATGACGAAAACCTGTCCATCATGCTCTATAATGAGAAAAGAAAAGGAAACAAATCACCCCATGACATGCTCTGTTCTATGTGCCCAAAGATCTGTGAACCTTCAAGACCTAAGTCAGAAACTTGTGACCCTAACTAGACTAGGACAGCCAACTTCAGCGATTCCTTAATGAAATTGTTTGCATCGGATAAAACTGTATACTTAATCTGGCCTTGTTGCTTCATTGTAAATTATAGATGAAACATTTTTTAAATTGAGCATTATCTACCATATGCTGTCATTATTCCAGAAACCGCAAGTAAGCTGTACTACCCAGCTCATGAGTAGGATGCCTGCTCATATTGTGAGTGTGCGCTGCTCACTGGGAAGAAGGGGCAAGCATCTTATAAATTTAATAGTGGAAGAAAATTCAAGTGTACATCTAATGGACTGCTGACATGTTTTCATTAGATCTTGTTGATTTCTCACCATTCAGTTAGGAGATATTGAAGGAGGTGGGGAGCAAATGATGGATTACAACCTAATTTTAGTGTCTGTGCTTGTAGAATTTGTCACATCTTGCGGTAATAGATGCTTTGAATTTCAGTTCTCTTACAATCTTTTACAGACTTTGTCTCCTGTAAGAGGGCCAGAAGTGGATTGCTATATAAAAGTAGGAACTGAGGCACAGCACATTCAACCACAGTTGCCATCTCCTTTAAGTAAATCAAAACCTGCTTTAATTTCCCAAATGAGTGATCCAGGAGAAATTCATCAAGCTGTACTGGATGCTATTCGCTCAGGAGACGGAGCTGCCAAACTTAAAAAGGTGGACACACTTACCACAATGTAACTACATGCATTAATAATTTACTAAAACTAAGTTGATCAGCTTTAATTTGAAATTTATTCAGTTACAACTGAGAAATTGTCCAGCAATTATTAAACTCTGTAGTATACAGTCACAAATATCTTCTTGCACTACATTCTGCAATTCACTGGAATATGAGGGGCCTTGGCTCAAAATTGATAGCTGTAATTGTGAACCTGAAAATACAAATACCTGTACTATATATATGTTGTATGTGAAAATTATGTGCACTTATAACCAAAACAATCTCAATTTCACATCTTTAATCTATCTTTCACTACAAAATCAACATTTTTGCATACAGATTTTACACTGTACATAAAAAGATATAATAATAGTAAAAACACTTTTGTAATAAGGACTAAAATATTTTAAATGTAATTGACAAATATATGTTGCCAATTTATTTTTAAATCCAACTACTGTCTTCAGCCTTTCTGGCTTTTATAATTTAGTGATATGCCCTCCAATTGCTCAACAAGAAACCAGCCAATATTTGGTTCTCCTGATGAGCATTCAGCAGTGTTGTATTTCCTTGTTGTAATTTCAGGTCTCAGATGTTCCCAAAACTATGGGTTTAATCTTTTTGGCCAATGGGGCTAAGATCAAGTTAGTATGTAGGTGCAGGACACCTGGGAAAAACAGGGGAAGCCATGTAGATATGCCATCAGGTTAATTTTCCATGGTTAAGAATGGACCATGATCAACAGCCTGTACTTCAGAGACAGGCAGCCGAGTGAGATAATTTAAGGTTCCAATTAGTGGTGATTTTCTAAGTACGCCAGTGTTTTGATATCTGTGGAGATGTCCTTGCCATGTATAGAGGCTACCATCACAATGGAGGTGAGCTGCTTTTGGCAAACCGTAGAGCTCTCAGAGCTGGAGGGTCCACTTCCCGAAGGAGGGAGATGTGGGCATGAACACTCCTGCCTGCTGCCAAAAATAAAATCCACCTGGGAGGTTTTCCCCTCTGCTATGAGAGGCCTGGTAGCTTTACCACTGAAAAGTTTTTATTTAAATGAACATCTCCGAAGGCACCTCCATGTCGAGGTATCTTATAGGCCTCAAATCTGCCTCACCTTTCCTGTGTTGTGTGGAGGCTCTGAATCTGCTTGCCTTCTGATTGCTTTGGTATCATTGGGAACTCACGCACTGCCCTTAATAGTTTAGTGAGCACAGAGGCAGCCAGTTAAAGAGGCCGTCACTGGGAAGATTGCACCTTCAAATTGCTGCCAGCAAATGGGAACTTGGGGATCGTCATCTGGTGCCAACATTGGGGTCTGAAAGCCTGCTGTAAAATCTAGTCTTTTAATGAACTCTTTACCTCTCCAGCAATTAGAAGCATTTATAGAATCAATTAGCTGGCACTTTACTTCAAACTTAAAAGCCAAATCAATAGGTACTTGATTGTGTCATACAAATAAAAGCATATCAAATATTTGGTGGAAGTTTTCTGTAGATGGTAACTAGCTTGCACTCTTACTAAACTGTTACAAGAACATCTGTCATATGAAGTGTTATGCCAAGAAATGAATTAAAATTGATATATAAATCTTCAGCTTTAATGTTTCAATTATTAGTTTGATTAAGAAATATCAGTTGATGAATTATCTTTGAAGAAAATGTTCATATAAATGTGTAATTAATTTTGCTTAATGTAGAAGTAAAATGAAACAAATGCAAATAATGTATCTAATATTACTCCTGGAAACAATTAATTCAATATGTCTGTATTCAATACTTTACTCAGTCATTGAAAAGCAATTTTACAATGGGGCAATGGAATTCTAATGTATAAAATGTCTTAGGTTAGCCAATTTATAATAATGCTTGTCTTTGCAAAACTTATGAAATATTTATATTGAAGTAAAAACACTGTCAATATGACTTGGGCTTATTTTTGGAAATGTCCACTTTCAGATTTGAATGCGTTTTCTGATTGAGCACTGTATTTAAGAATTCACAAGTTAAGTTCTGCAATATCCAATGCATCAATTTCTATACGTGACAAACACATCTTTGAAACATTAAGTTCTTTTACCCTCTTTTTGTTTTATTCTGCATTCACAATGTTAAACTGAGATGATCTGTTCCTGTTTATCTTGTTACTTAGTCCTTAAAAATAATTAACTAATTTTAATGGTTTTTTTAGCAGATCTAATTGCCAAATTTTTTAAATTAATGTAATAATTTTGAAAGTATTACTTTCCTACTGTTATGATCCCAGCTAATGGTACTACTGGACAAGTCAGATTCCAGAATGAAAACTGATATGTTTTGATCATATGTGTTTTTGTTTAGACCATAAGACCATAGGAGCAAAAATTAGGCCATTTAGCCCATCGAGTCTGACCCGCCATTCAATCATGGCTGATAAGTTCCTCAACATCATTCTCCCGCTTTCTCCCTGTAACCCTTGATCACCTTGACAATCAAGAACCTATCTATCTCTGTCTTAAATAAACTTGTTGACCTGGCCTCCACAGCCTTCTGTGGCAGTGAATTCCATAGATTCACCACTCTCTGGCTGAAGAAGTTTCTCCTTATCTCCATTTTAAAAGGTCTTCCCTTTACTTTAAGGCTGTGCCCTCGGGTCCTAGTCTCTCCTACCAATGGAAACATCTTCCCAACATTCACTATTCAGTATTCAGTAAGTTTCAATTAGAAACCCCCCTCATCCTTCTAAACTTCATCAAGTATAGACCCAAAGTCATCAAACATTCGTGATATGTTAAGCTTTTCATTCCTGGGACCATTCTCATGAACTTCCTCTGAACCCGCTCCAGGGCCAGTACATCTTTCCTGAGATATGTAACCCAAAACTGCGCTTAATACTCCAAAAGCGGCCTGACCAGAGCCTTATGGAGCCTCAGAAGTACATCGCTGCTTTTATATTCAAGTCCTCTGAAAATAAATGCCAAAGTTGCATTTGCCTTCCTAACTACCAACTCAGCCAGTAAGTTTACTTTGAGAGAATCCTGGACTAGAACTCCCAAGTCTCTTTGCACTTCAGCTTTCTGAATTTTCTCCCTAATTAGAAAATAGTCTATGCCTCTATTCTTCTTACCAAAATGCATGATCTCACACTTTCCCACGTTGTACTCCATCTGCCACTTCTTTGCCCACTCTCCTCACTTGTCCAAATACTTCTGCAGCCTCCTCACATCCTCAATACTACCTGTCCCTCTACCTATCTTTGTATCATCTGTAAACTTAGCCAGAATGCCCTCAGTTCCTTCATCTAGATCCTTAGTTAGTTAACACGGTGGTTAGTCCCTGCAACATATTTACATTGGATTGCAGATTGCTCTTTAACAACAGAATATAAACTTAATCCACAAAAGAAAGAACTCTAATTTACAGTTAGACGCAAACATCAAAACCTGTTCCCCAATACCAGCCAGTACAGAGACTCAAGTCCAGGGAAATTGCACCCCTGTCTAAACTCATTAGGTTTCTACCGAACAGATTCTTTTCTTTTTCTTTCTGGTGAATTAGGGAGACCATTCAGTGATTCCTTTCCAAGTCTGCAGTCACAAACTCTTCACAAGTCTGAGAACCTTAACTTTCTCAGTTACATTAACTTGCAGATTTCTATCTAAACTCTCCTAGTCTGGTAGTGTGGCATTTCTGCTAGAGTATGTGGCTTCCCTGAACTGAACTAAAAAAACTCCTCAGAGAGAAACTACTATTTGCTTCTGAAATCAACTCTGATGTCTGAACTGAACTGAAAAAGGTTTTTCTGAACTGTCATAAACTCCTAAGATTAAACATCTTTCCATTAACATCACAATGGTCTGCAGTCACATTCTTTCTAAGCAATACTGGATATTTAGACCTCTGCTCCAGAGTGAATTGCCACATTTTATTTTCAGAGAACATGATTCATAGAAATAACCAATAACAATCTTCTTCCATTTTAAAGCAATCCAATTTCAAATAAAAACATATTATGCATCTTTTATCACACTACTTAAAAGTTCTAAAAATAGAATTGCTAGAGATACGATTGTGTAGCTGTTCTGAGGATGTTCAAGTACACTATTAAAAATTGATTGAATTTTGTTACTTCTGTTTAGTATAGTTGTATTGATAATTCCGTTGTATGAGATTTTTCTAACAGCATATAAAGCCACAACTCCCAATGTGTTTGCCTCATACACAAGATTATATTAATATGCATTATATCCAAGGATCAAATATAAATATGGTTGTCCTGTGGTTCAGCTTGTCAAGTCTCTCAATGACTGATCTAAGTGGACCAGGAAAATTCCCATATTTGATCTCGAATCTATGTTGGCCAAACTTATTTCAAGCATGTTGATGGTAGGTGGGATGAGAGTGACCAAAGATCCCTTAAGTTTGCAAATGGAAGAAAATTCCCTTAGAACATAGAACAGTACAGCACAGGAGCAGGTCCTTCAGCCCACCACGTCTGTGTCAACCATGGTGCTATTTAAACTGCCTGTGTATAGTTTGTATCCCTCTGTTCCCCACCCATTCATGTATCTGTCTGAATATGTCTTAAACATAGCTATCGTATTTCTTCTACCACCTTCCCTGGCAGCATGTTCCAGGCACCTACCACCTTGTGTGGCTTTTTAAAAGAAAAACTTTCCTCGCACATCTCCTTTCAGCTTTCTCCCCTCGCTTTAAATATATGTCCCCTAGTATTTAACATTTCCCCCCTGGGGGAAAAAGATTCTGACTATCCAGCCTATCCATGCCTCTCATAATTGCATATACTTCTGTCAGGTCACCCCCTTAGCCTCTGATGTTCTAGCATAAACAATCCAAGTTTGTCCAATCTCTCCTTTGAGTTAATACGCTCCAATCCAGGCAACGTCCTGGTAAAGCTCTTTTGCACCCTCCTCAACATCCTCTTTTTAGTGTGGCTATGTCTGGAACACTATCTACTAACTTGCAGCAACATGTCAACTAGTGGTTATCTGATGAGGAGAGGAAAGGGTGGTTCATTGGAGTTTTCAGTTCAAGTATTGTTTTTAAATAAATCATAAAAATGGTCATTTGCTGGCATTTGTGCCACTATATTCCAGCACGAACTTAATGCTTTTGAGAGAAGAAAAGTCAAAGAAAATAACATTCATATGGTTTATAATTTTTATTTATCAGGAATAGTATGATATTCACCACTTTTCCATATCTAAATCCCTTAATTATTCCCTTTTGTTACACCAATCACAAATTTCACTCTCTTCCTTTTTCCCCATAATCCTTGATTCCCTTACTGGTTATTTCAGCCCTACATATACTTAATAACCTAACTTCTACAGCCTCTGAGAAATACGATAGCTATGTTTAAGACATATTCAGACAGATACATGAATGGGTGGAGAACAGAGGGATACAAACTATACACAGGCAGTTTAAATGGCACCATGGTTGACACAGACGTGGTGGGCTGAAGGACCTGCTCCTGTGCTGTACTGTTCTATGTTCTAAGGGAATTTTCTTCCATTTGCAAACTTAAGGGATCTTTGGTCACTCTCATCCCACCTACCATCAGTCAATACCCTCGGAGAGAAGATATTCCTTCTCATCCCTGTCTTAAATGTAGAACCCCTTATTCTGCCCTGTCATCCTAGACTCTGCCACAAGGGGAAATTACTCTTCTGTACCTACACTGTCATGTCCCCTGAGAATTTTGTATGTTTCAAAAAAAAATGCCTAAACTTTAATCTGTATAGGCCCAACCGACTCTACCTCTCTTCATAAGATAAACCTTCCGTACCTGGTATCAGCCTAATGACCCTTCTCTGGACTGTCTCCAATGCCAGTGTATCTTTCCTTAGATAAGGGGCTCAAAACTGTTCACAATATTCCAGCTGTAGTCTGACATGCATTGTATAGTTTTAACAAGACCTGCCCACTTTTGTACTCCATTCCCTTTGAAATAAAGGCCAACATTCCATTTGCCTTCCCTGTTACCTGCTGAATTTGTTATATCTCCTTTTGCAGTTTATGCTCAAGGTCTCCCAAATCTCTTTGTACTACAGCTATTTGCAGTTTTTCTTGATTTGAATAATATTCAGGTCCTTTATTCTTCCAATCAAAGTACATAACCTCACACGTTCCCACATCACATTTCATCCACCAAGTTCTTGCCTGCTTGCTTAATCAGACTATACTCAGCAGACGGAGTCATCCTCACCACATCTTCCCACATATTTCTGTGTCATTCGTAAACCTGGCTGTAGTACATTCACTTTCCTCCTTAAGCCATTAACATAAATTGTAAGTAATTGTGGCCCTGGCATTGATCCCTGTGGCACTCCATTAGTCACATCTGCCACATGGAAAAGGTCCCCCTTGTTCTAAATCTGTCTTCTATGAACTTATTTCACCTACCCACAAGCCTGGAACATTACGATATCTTCTTCACAACACACCTTCCTGTCTATCTTTGTGTTATCAGCAAATTTAGCTATGCCTTTGCTCCTATAAATTGTAAAAACTTGAGACCCCTGCAGGACAACATTTGTCACATCCTGTCAATCAGAGAAACGCCAATTTATCCATGCTTTCTGTTGGCTCCCTGGCAGAACATCTTACATCATGCTAGTATGTTACCTTGACACTCTGTGCTTCTGATTTGCATAATGCCTTTTGATGTAGTATGTTATCATCTGCCTTCTGGAAATCCATATACAGTGCATTAATGGTGTCTGCCTTACCTACAGTGCATGTAACTCCTTCAAATAACACTAATAAATTGGCTCAATTTGGTTTCCCTTTCACATAAACATGCTGACTTTTCTATGCCTAGCATTTTCTAATTGTCCAGCATAATCTACTTAATGATTTACTGCTTTATTCTAACACTATCTCTGTGACAGATGTCAAGCTAAAGGGCCTATAGTGTTAAC